CACGAGAAATGACGAACTTAGCTCTCCTTATCCGAATTTCCTGCCTAGTTGTCAAAGATTCGATATTTCTCGTAAACCAGCTGCTGTAAAAAGCTGAAAATTCACACTCACGCTTCTAAGGTCCTATAGTAGTGCTAGAACAGTTCCGCACTAATTTGGCAAAAACATGAAAAACTTCGTTTTCTCAGTTTCTAGCTGAGAGAAAAATACAGCAACTGCATAGAGAAATGTATTAGGTTGTCCGGAAATTAAAGCCCGTTTGAAATTTCAAACGCAATAACTCGTAAACTTCTCATTTCTAAATAAGTAGCAAGGTACTATTCGATAGAGCAAAGCGAGCTGTACAAGATGGCATTAATGATTTTGCACCAAGTTATGTCCACATGAAGTTAAAAGATGGAATCTAAAAAGTTTCAAATGACCGAAAAATCTAAAAAATCGTATCTTCGTCCAAAAAAATTTCTACGGACCTCCAACTTGCTCAGGGACTTACACTCTTCACGAAACATTCATATGCGCAGTTGCTGTACTTTTTTCTTAGCTAGACATTAAAAAATCGAAAATTTTCACATTTCCGCCAAAGTGGTGCTGGGCTCTTCCCGCGTGTCTGCTTCTATACTACTTAGTTTGGGAAGTACAAAGGTAGATTTCCAGCCTTCTACAGCAGTTAGTTCTCGAGAAATACCGAATTTTGATTTTTTTCTCCCGTTTTCCAAACCAAACTCGTTATTTCGCGAGAACTAACTGCTGTAGGAGGCTGAAAATCTACCGTTGTATTTCCCAAACACTACTATAGAAGTAGACACGCGGGAAGAGCCCAGCACCACTTTGGCAGAAATGTGAAAATTTTTGATTTTTTAATGTCTAGCTAAGAAAAAAGTACAGCAACTGCGCATATGAATGTTTCGTGAAGGGTGTAAGTCCCTGAGCAAGTTGGAGGTCCGTAGAAATTTTTTTTGGACGAAGATACGATTTTTTTGAATTTTCGGTCATTTGAAACTTTTTAGATTCCATCTTTTAACTTCACGTGGACATAACTTGGCGCGAAAGCAGTAACGCCATTTTGTAGAGCTTGCTTTGCTCTATCGAATAGTACTTTGCTACCTGTTTAGTTATGAGAAGTTCAAGAGTTATTGCGTCTGAGAATTGAAACGGGCATTAATTTCCGGACAACCTAATAATATACGAAATGACAATGCATGAGCAAGTCAGGAATTTCAAAGGATTTATACGGACTTCCAACTTTTTCTTGGTTTTTTGGGGTGCTTGGATCTTTTTCGTTTTTGGCTTCAATCTTCTTGGATCAAAGCTGCTGCAAGACTTTGGACACTACCTTATGGAGCTAGGTTTGCTCTGTCTAATGATATATCAAGTCGCATTTAGGACATAGAAAAATTCCGGGTTATTGCGGTCTGACCTATTCTGGTGCAGGAATTATGCCAACCTAATATTTTCCATATAAGAAGTCCAGATACTCCGATTTGCCTATTTTCCAAGCCCTACCTTGCTGCTGTGATCAGCGCATGATAGATGGCTGTTACTAAAACGTAGCCTATATATGCGAGTACCACGTATTTGGTCTGAGACACAACCGCTAAGATAACGGCGATAAGGCTTGAAGACAATGTTAGTGTTAGTTCTCCGTATTTAATCCAATCGATAGCTGCGAACTGTATGGCGAACGCAATGATTGCACCTAGAAAAATCATAATCGGATCATTCAAGAATAGTCACATGTCTGAAGTAAGGAATATTTTTCTTTCGCTTCGCAGACTGCAAAAAAATGGAATCGCAATAATCGACATATTTCCTTTGATCAGCAAGACTGTCTCTATCGATAATTTGCGGAATTTCAGCTTACCTATCAAAGTGTTCACAAATTCCGTCAATCCATTTTCAACCTTGTTTGGATCGGGTTGCATTTCCAACCATAAGGCTTGGATGTAGTTGAACACCTTGAAGCATGAATGGATAAAAACTTCAATTGAAAAGAAGCGACGTTTACCTGATATATCCCGCAGCTCGCTAAAGCCCACCAAATTGACCATTTTAGTACAATCAAATTATCTTTGAAAATGCGAAAATTCTTGATAGTGGTCAATAAATAATTGCGAATTCCTCTTTCGAGTTTTCGGCGTTCGAATTCGCCTCGTCTGCAAATTATTTCAAAACACTAGCCTTTTTGCACAACACGAAGTGGTAAAATGCCCACGTTGGATTTTCTAGACTTGATTGGTTTTCTTGTGCCCCAACGAGTTCACTATGGACTTCTTGTCGTAACCGTGCTGGTACCCGTGGCAGTAACAAAGCAATGCAGAATGCAGTTAAAACCGTTGCGAGTGAGATCTGGAAAAATGGCTCATTCATCAAGAAAAGCATGTGAATCAAAACAAATCTGACCTGATTCAAAAGCAAGTACGAGCCTATCTCAGTGGATACAAGAAACTGCGCCAATCCAAATGCAAACAATTTTCCTATGAGCAGCGCAGTACGTATATATGAGGTGCATTTTCGATATTGCTTTTCATCCACGACCGCATAGATATATGAGAAATACGCTATTTCGGATGCTGAGGCTAGCCCTAAAAACACATTTCGAGGGCTGATGGGTAACTGAACGTCAAAGGCAGTGCCCAGGTTAGTCGAGTAACTGGCTTCCATTTAGAGATCAAGTGGGCATTAATTAACTTCAGAAAGGCAGCTCAAGGACAATTTTCTGAGAGATTTTCTCTAGCTCTTTCCCAGACTGTGCAACCTATTATAACTGAAAACGCTGATTGTTTACTTGGAAGGAGTACAGTACATAGAGTCCGAAGTATTTTTCAGCCTAGGATAACACCAAATGAGTTGCAGCTAACAGTTCAGTTAGATTTTCCAGAAATTCTCATGAAGAACCGAAATATAGGCTGCTGGATAACGAAGACGCAACATCTTTATGCGCGAATGCAGCTTATTGGCCGCAGAGCGCATAAGGCACAAGAATTACAACGGTGAGGATAGAGTCGCATTCGTGCCCGCTCAACTAATACTGCTTCTGCGCCTTTGACATGCGGTAGCTTTACCTACCAAATCATTCGAATATAGCCTTTACGAGCACGTTGTTTGTCTGGGCACTGTCTCTAAAAATTTTTTTTTCATAAAAAAACCGTTTCCCTCTCCCGCTGCACCAGAGTCGAAGAAATCGTAAAACCCACCAAATACTATTTGCATAAATTGCATTTGCAGTACTCCTTGCCCCCAGACGAGAAGGCCCCAAGTCGCTGTCAAACAAGCTCCTTCCAAAATTATTATAGGCTTGTAGCGAAAAATGTCAGTAAGGAAGAAGATGGGGACCTGAAGCGATGGAGTTTTGCTATTAAATTTTAGAGATAGAACCTTACCAAAAATATTAGGAACGAGTACGTCCAAAAAGGAAATATTTGTCCATAGACCTCATCTATAGTGAGATTTTTGTAGTGAGAAACGAGAAATGGTGTTAGAAATGGAGTAGCTGGTCGGATTTCCTTCAGTACACCATAAGTGCATATTAGAGCTGTAGTTTTCTTCCAGTGTGATACCATGAGTAAAAAGCTAAAGAATTGAATGTATTTGAAAAAATGATGGACAGCATGAATTTAATTGAGATGGGAGAATGAGCATTCTGCTTATCGGAGGAAATTTTTGAGACAGATGAAAACTGGAACGAATAAATTCGGCATGTAATGGAATAGCTGCAGAACTATAGGGTATTCGAAAAATCGTGACGATGGCGCGACCGCGCGCGACACGCAAGCACCTCCCGGCACCGCATTTTCTTGGTTTTCATCTTCACTCGAAGGCTTTTTCTGCTAACGTATAACAGTATTTAGACATTAGAAAAGAGTATGAGAGTTGAGATGATGCCTTTTTGTATGAGTATTTTCTGCACACAAAGCGATTAGTGAAATGAGGGTGATGTATGAATATTACTACGGTGGCAAGAGCTAAAACAGTAAAACACTGGCCGTCGTCAGAAGATGGGAAAAGAGTATTAAGAATTTCATAAGAGAAGCGATTATAATAAGAGCATTGACTTTTTCACATCAAGAATCAAAAAACTCTACAGACTGTAGAACGAGCGACAGAGGGGAAGAACACGTGAAAAGCTGCCTCCTCAAAAAGACTCCCATACGAAAAGAATGGTTATTTAACGACATTCCAGGACAAATGTTGACAAAACGATCGGAAATGGCAGAGTGCAAGACGATGATAAGAACCGATCGGCTCAAAAATGTTTTGAGACCGAAACTCGGAGGAGGAGAGATGAAATCGAGGATAAGACATGCAGAGCATTATATATCGATTTACACAGCTGACATATTGAAAAAAAACGAAGATTTATGCAGCTTTTTTGATTAAAGATTCGAGAAACCAGTTTGAAACATCTCAGTGACTTTTGAGACTTGAAAACCTTGTCTGGAAGCAAAAAAGATCGTAGCAGCTGTTGCAATGAGTGTAAAAAAACTTTCATGCATGTGACCGACGGGAAACAGATCCGATAAGGAAGCTTGCTAAGCAAATTTATTCCCCCATCAGAGAACAAGTTTAATCCGAAAGAAGGCTGTCACTATTTAATCCTTATCGTGCTAGATTGTCTTCGATTTGTTCATGATTATCATTTGTACTGCAGACATAAACTAGCGTTTACGGCATGATTACGCAACTTTTTTTACGAGGAGGAAAAACGAAAAACGTGCTTGAATGTCGATTTTCTGCAGTTAGTGCACGTACTATTGCACTAACTTTTTATTGACGTGCTTTGCCCTGCACTACTGCGTTTGTTTACTTCTGTGTGAATGCTTATTGTTTTTCGCGTTTCTTGACTCAAAATAGATAGCTTAGTTTATTTCTGTCTTAGTGCGTGCAAAATGCGGTTGGCGCAGAAGGGCTAGTCAGGTTTATGTTTTGCATCCTACAACTTCGTTCCCTGTTTGGATCCTCGATTTACATCTTTGAAGTAGGCAAATACATTTTTTGGTCTTATGGATGATGTGCTTTTGGCAAATCAAGCTTTCCCTTGTTTTTCTTCTTGGAACTTTATATTTCTCCTTTATTCCGTCGCTTTCATTGCCGTATTGCATGCATTCTGCATAGATCTAGTGGTCCTAGAAGCAATAATTTTTTATTTTCTAGTCATCCGCTTGTTTTTGAAAGACCTCAATGCTGAATGAATAAAATCATTTACAGAGAAACTCTCTGAATGATCACGCCCACGCTAGAGCCTGTTTTTTCTGCATCTAGTGATCCTCGATCGTGGATGTCAAAGCGATGACGAATATTCCTCGGGGTACGTTTGGTTACTACCGCGGCGGGAATCTCCCACGAGATTCTGAACCCGAAATAATATGGATTCATCGCGAAAACGAAAATGCTGACGTTATCGCCTGCCTATCTTCATTCGCTCCAACTCATGTTGCGTTGACGTTCAAGAGCTTTTTCTAAAATCTTGAGAAGGTCGTCATATCCTTGCCTTGCTTGCGTGCCGTCCTCATCACTCACTGTCACTGTCTTGGTCTTCATCATGGATTGCACTTGTCTCTCTGGCCAAGACTTTCCTATAAAGTTATCTTATGCTGTATCTGGATCCAGTGACCTCACATCTTCAGCTCTTCATTCCAGAATGCTTCGGGAGATTACTCGTCGCGTCGACTGGGTACTTGTCGGAGGTTGCTGGACTCGAGTTTCGGTTATTGGAACTAGCCTGTCTGATGAGATTCTGAGTAGAGAGAATAAAGGCGATCTTGACAACCGCATAGTAATCTTGATGATTCCAGGTAATGGCTTGGAGACTCATATACTTTTTTAATCTATCATGGGCATTCCTCGTGATTTCGCGGAGGTTTCCTTTACTTCCCGCAAATTTTCGGTCTTTCTTTTTTCGTTATTTTCATAGAATATCAGTTTTATCCCCGTTGTTTTTATAAGTTTTTTGCGAACTTTTTTTTATTGCTCTCTTCTTCGAAATCTCCGCTAGTTTTTGGCCCTTTTAGGAAATCCTGGAAATGAGGGATTTTACGCAGATTTTGGACATAAAGTTGTGAAATGTCTGCTGTCAAGAGAAGAACGGATGGGAGATCGTAAGCGGCACTATCTATTCTACACAGTATCCCATTTGAATCATGTAGTTTTACCTCCCGAACTGAAAAACTCAGGAAAGCATAGGCCCTATGGTAAGTTCAACCCTTTTGCAGTCTACCAGGTTCATTGTGAGATTCTTCTATGCTCTAGATCGCTTCCAACTTGATGCTCAAGTGCAGCATAAACTGGACTTTGTTCGAGAACACCTTCCTAAAGCGCAGAAGGTCTATATACTAGGACACAGTATCGGCTCGTATATGATGCTCAAGTATGTACTACCTGTTTCTTCGGAATAACATTTTACTTGTATTATGTGTGTGAAAGTTTGCAGCATTACTTATGCCAATTTTAATGTGATATTGAAGCTTTTGCATTGAGAATGCCGAGATACGGCTGTCCACTCCCTGGGGGTCCTCTCAAAAATTGTTTTTGAATAGACAGCTCGTTGACATGCGTCATTCTATCATTATGCACGACATTTCCAGTTTTCCCATGAGCATTGAAACAATAAGGTGGCCAGCGTTTTTGCTCTAGTACGCTGTTGTGCCGAATTCTATCACTTATTGGTGAGAGATTAACTGCAAGTTTTCCTAGTCGTAGGAGTTATATTAAGGTTGTTCCACTACTTTTCAGTTTGTGCCACTATTTCTTACTTACTCTCCAGAATCCTTCCTTACATCAAAGATGATTTCAACATCAAAAAAGCTATCGGTCTTTTTCCTACCGTGGAGAAGATGGCAGAATCACCAAATGGTTTACGTCTCAAAAGGGTGTTGGCGGTCTGTTTTTTACTTTGTTCTTGCTTACAATTGAAGATTATTCTTGGTGTTTAGACCCTCGATACAAATGATTGGCTTGCAAAAAGCGTTTCATTTTGGTTAGACTGTTTACCGGTTAGCGTAAAGAAATGGCTCGTGACGTGGAATCTCACCGGTGACACTGTAAGTCACAATCTTTTTTTTGTAAAAGCTTTGATTAGTGTTATTTTCATCTTGGTAAACAAGTTTTCTGGGTTCCGAGATGACTGTTTCTGTCATAGTCGTCCAACAATAAGTTAGATTTGTCGTCGGTGAGGCTCATCAGTTTCATTTGCACAAAAGCATCTTTTGCGTAGTATTAAAATGTTGTTCCTACTACTAAAATAGAAGAATATTGCGCTACCATAAATCTCCCTGAGTGAATAGCGGTATATTACGAAATTCAAGGTCCCTAGTGACGTCGTGTCGTCCGCTGCTGAACTTCTAAACATGCATGTATTCCGAAATATCGTTCACATGTCGCACGATGAATTGAATAAGGTTAGTTTAAGTTCTGTAATGTTGATGTATGTTTGATGTAAGAAAAATGCAGAAGCTCTCCTATGGCAAAGTTTCTGAGTCAATGGTGTATCTATAAACTTCTAAAAGCTGGTATCTATAAACTTCTAAAAGCTGTACAATGAACTCAGAAACATACTCTGTCGAAATACTTATTATGCTATTTTCACTTAGGTTTGCGAGTTTGACCAAACGCTTATCGCTAACAAAGATCTCGTCTATTTTTACTATGGCAAGGAGGACGGCTGGTGTCCTGAGGACAATGGTCAGCGATATTTCGCTATAAGGACACATGTATCAACTGAAAAATTCTAGGTTATTCCATGGAGGCTCGTCTGCCGCAAGGGCATGTCATTATCGATGAAGACGGTTGTGAACATGCCTTTGTGATTCGGGATGGAGCTGTCGTTGCGGACAAATTGCTACGGTTCATCAACTAAACATGGATTATGAACATTGTAAAGGTCATAACTATCTCTTTCTGGTCTTAGGCATCTAATGAACGCGCTACCTCGCTTTACGCTCAGTGGTGGCTTATTCAAATTGTTTACTATGCGATATTATAATTTTTTACTAGGTGCTTCCGAAATTGCGTAGATACGATGAGTAAAATATTGTGTTATAATTTTTGCTCTTTATTCGTGTTGTCCCCAGTTCAAAACTTTCTCTGCATTCCGCTTTAAGATATAATGTAGTTATGTATGTTCAAACTCAGCAATAATGTAAGATTTCGGTACAATAAACTCTTCATATGATTGGGCTTACAGTGACGGGCTGCCTTGAGTGCGCGGCGCGGTTCAAACGCGTATGAGTCGCGATATGCAAGCACTAAGCTGCGCGGATGAGAGGCCACTTGTCTGTTATCTGTCTAGGTAAGCAAGAAAGTTTGAAATAGTTGAGATTTTTGTATTAGTTCAGTCGGAAGAGATTACATTCGATTCGAATTTGCTTGGTTTCAACTATCATCTTTCATATTGAAATGAAGCTGAGAAGTTATTACGTTCAACTTTCAAAAGTTCTTTTGATGTGCTTTTTGGGAATGGGCAATTATATCAACTGAAACTGACAATATAGTAGTTTTCATCGACCCACAAGTTCAGGAGGGAATGAGTTTTTGTAAGCATTGCGAAAGCACACTTTTGCTCCTAAGCTCCGAAAGATCCCATCTTACAATGCATGGACACTCCTGGATGTATGTCTAGGCGTTTCGGAAGTGGTCATTGCTGGTAATTAACGCTACCATGATCATGTCAACATCTTTGCTTTCATGCATTTCTTAGTATCCTCTGCTTTTATTTACTGTAGCTCGCGAACTAAAGTGTCTCGATAGCAGCAATTGACCTCAAAGCAAGTTATATATCAAGTTTTCTGGAAGAAGATCTTATGTGGGGTATTCTCGGCTCAGAGAAATCTGGAGAATATCAATGAACTATCACCACCTTGTAGTTTTGTGAACAAAAAAAATCCCAGGACATCGGCCCCTATGTCCAAAATTATGCGGTTTGTTTCTTTTTCACTCTCGCCTGTCCTGGGTGCTCCATTGTTCTCCGCAACATTGTATGCAAGTCTCCATGTGGTAGGAGTGAGTTGAGTGAGTTTAATGAGTTGTCAAAAAGGCTCATTCTAGTATTTAACTCCTTGTTGGTGAATGCAAGCAATGTTATTACAGAAACAGAGAATTTTGTGCTATTGTCCGTGAAATTTTTTAGGGGGAAAGTTCGGAATCGGCTCTCAATTTTTGCACGTAAATCGATGTCAGAAGACCTTCTATGAACTAGCTAAGAAATATATTACGTAACCAAAAGCTTGTTTAACTTTAAATAGTTAATTTGAAGACTGAGAGTAGCGCTAAGATAATGTGATTTGCCTTTGCAAAATTATCTACAGCTGTAGACTAATTTAGGGGCATAATCTCATGTGGTGTGATTTTGCTGTTTGGAGATCGACCTCTGTTATTGGTTTTGTTTAAAAACTATGGAAATCTTGGTTAATTTTGAAGTTTTCATCTCAGCATAGTTTGACTAGACCTATACGAATAGGAAAGTCGTGTTTCTCCGAAATATCGGAGAAATGGCTGTTTTGAACTACATAATTGTGGTCAACAGTATAGTATTATAGTAGTATAATATAGTAGTATTATCACTTTCCAGAAGCCCTCTCAGAGTTGTTTTTTTCCGAGGGACGAGAAAAAATTCTACATTTGAAAGAGCTACGTATCAGTCATTCTCTTAGGGGAGTTTTCCTTTTAGTGGACGTCTCAGATTGTTCGTGAATCGTGATCTAGTCAAGCATCCAAAAATATTTTTCTTTGATAAATATAATTCGATATACAAAATATTTATTTCAAAACTCATTGTGATGAATCTGTTAAGTTACCGAAGTTATGTTACACTTTCTTCGTCTTCCGAAAAAACTTTGGAAAGTTCGGCATGGTTCATATTTGGCATATATGGCGAAGAGATAAAGGGTATCCGCTGGCACCTTCTATGCCCTCATGGTATGACTTAAATAAATTTGTACATAGGCAACTCTATAAGGGAAATTCTCTTATTCTTCTTTTCCATCTTTATTGATTTTTGGTGTTCTGAGAGCATTGTTAGTAAGACTAAGACACTTCGGAAGTTTAAGCCCTTTTAATAACCAAAGTTGGAAATTTGCCAAAAATAATCCGGAAAGACTTCAAAAAATTCGAAAATCGATTGTTTATGTGTGACATGTATATGTCAAAAATCTGCAACACTACGCATAATATGGAGATCAAAAAATCACTTGACAAAGCTATGAGGATTTTTTTTGTTGAGTGTAACAAAACTTTCCTCGATTCATTTGTAACTAAATATATGAGAATGCACACTATGCGCTATTAGCGACGGCACCCTTTCCACTAACTTTTCAGTAAAATTTTCTAGCTTATCAAATTGTAAAGATATGTTCTACGACTAACATATATCCGACAAAAACAAAAGGAACAAGGAAATCAGGAGAAATCACTGCAAATGAGCAGATTTTAATTTTGCAACTCGTCAATTGTTACACATGGTGTGCAATACGCATATTAAGTTACGAATGGCTCGATAATATGTAACTTCCCAATAATACACAAAGAGTTGACTGATCTGTTTTTTCTTATGTCAAGATTGTTTTTGAATTTTCGTAACCTATTTTCGGGTAGGAAGAAAATTCCTTTCCTTCCTCTCAAATCCATCGCTGTCAACGCTGTCAAATGCGAGGAAATTAACCAGGTCGGCCTAAGTCTACAAGGAACTTTTCCAGGGTGTTAAAAACACATGAAAAACATCTTGCAACATTCGTGCATATATAGTATCCAGCAATCCAGAAACCTAGGAAAGCCGTTGCAAGACCGGAAATTTTAATGCAGTTTCCGCTTCAAGCAGTTTTCACAACATAACGATCCGTAAGCTCGTTCCCTTGTAGCAGTCGGGGGCCAAAACATTTCCATAGTCCGTAAGGCTTTCCCACAAAGACGTAGAAGCGTATGCAGCGAGAGCGCAAAGCAATAAGCAACTGATGAGTAATCGCTCGTGTACAAAAGCATCGCCGAGTGGACAAAGATGGTATCGATTGTGATGGAAATTTTTGCTACTTTTCAAATACTGTAGTTTGTGGCTGTGGAAAGAATACAACAAGATCCTGGCATGATACTCAAGGCTTCTGAATTTTTCTGCAATAAAATAGTACAATTATGAAGAATTATCGTTTATTGGAGCCAGTAAACAAGCTAGTTTAGCTATAACAATTTTCATCGAGTGAAGGAATATCGATTAATTGATTTTCGAAAAATTTTCGAACGATGAATATCGAATAATTGAGTTTCGAGAAATCAAATGAGCGAATATCATTCGACTGTGGTTTATTACTTGAGTTCGAATTTTCGAATATTTGAATAATTAAACTTGGATGAATATTCGATTGTTCGAATAATCGAGTGAGTGGATATCATAGAATATTCGTATATTTGAATGCTTGAAAATTCATTATTTCGAATGCAAAACTTGAATATGCTAGAAAGCTCGCATATGAAACATGCGAATAAACATTTTAATACTCGTTTAATTGAATATATACCTTTTCTTGCTTGAATATTCGAACAACTTTCTTTCAAAATTCCCCGGATTGCGGGATTGAACATATTCGTGTAAAAGTCTTTTTCAATTATTTGACTATTCGAATAATCAAACAAATCACTTTCTCGAATATTCGACTATTCGATTATTTGATTAGCCGAATCTCGATTAATTTATTTAAATACGATTATTCGGCTCCAACTTTACAAGCTAGTATTTCTTAGCGTTGTGGGTAACCACTGTTTTGGTATGCTGTAGATTATTCTTGCACTGTTTACGTTTAGACATCTAAGCGTAACTGTGCAAAAAGTCACGAAAAGTTTTAGTAAAATTTTCGTACAATCTTGTCCATTCTGACATCCACCTTTGAGGGAGCAGAAAACATTTCCAAAAAATTTTTAAAAGCATATTCGCTGAACTTTTTTCTACTTTTTTTGCATCCAAACGAGTTATGCTTTCTATTGTTCGGACTCCTGCTTGAAGCAACGCACAAAGGTGCACTCAGACTATGCAAAACAATAGAAAAAAAAACAAAGTTCCATTTTTCAAGCATTTAAGTAGGAGCGTACAAATTTTGGTTTTGTAACAAGCGCAACATTTATGAAAAACGTATTGCCTCGATTCATCAGAAAGGGTCAAGTAAACTGCTGAAACTTGCAAACTTCACATGGCGAAGTGAAATTTCTTGGAAGTTTTCCTTTTTATCCCTTTATTCTTACATTCTGTTTATATAATTCTTGATCTGATCACCGCTTTTTATTAATAATAGTAATGAGTGATTCGCAAAATAGCTTCTTGTAGCAAAGCTAAAATTCACTACGATGTTGTATTCATTTTTTGCATGCTTTGGCGAAAAGCAAACGGCAACTAAACATTTTGCATAAATTAAATAAGCTGTTCGAAGTGCCACCGAGTACTTCGGATAATGGACATCATTTACAATTCCAAAGACGCCTCCACTTTTTTCCACTTTCGACAGCTCAGTGAATAGAGAACTAGAGCGGAAACTGCTTCGAAAGTTGCAAATCGACCTTTGTCTTCATTATGCCCAGAACTACTTCCTGAGGTTAAAGTCAGACCCTTGAACGATGAAAAACTTTGGTAGATGGGGGACATTGCCAGCTAGTTCGTCGTACTTTAGAATATTCAAATATGGCGGTTATTGCATTTTTGGTCCTTGCCTTAGAATATGCGGAATGACGAGAATGACGTTTTGGACGAACATGGAAAAGTTTTTGAATTGCTGCTAGGAAAACTTTAAAAGACTTTATTTTCAAACAAAGATTGGACAAGAAAAAGGGAGGGCAACTAGTTTCTCAGCCGTGACTTCAGAAGATTTTCTCAAATAATCTCAATCCGAACACGACCTATTTTGAAGATCGATACCAAGTTGCCGAAAATGTGCATGTATAGTGCATTTTTTTTCAATTCTCCCTAGAAAGGTTTCCTCGAGTAGTCAAACACTGACTTTATGTACAAATTTACATTTATTCCTCCACTTTGTAAGAGAAGGTAAATAATCCTCGAATACTATTACTAATAGACGCTATTGGAGACTACAGAGAGATATCAGTACGAATTGATCATCATATAATGAGTGTCGCAGATGGAAAAGAACCCAAGTCGGGAGAACGAAGAAAATTTCGCGAATAATAAGCGTGAGATAAAATGATATAAGAAATGAAATGAGAAAGCTATGACATGCACCAATATCAGGCAGAACGAAACCCGTGAGGAATGATGATGAGAGAAGGCGAGAAATAATGATACATAATTTTGCATAGACGAAAAAATTGGTCGATCTATTGCAAGTGGAATCGATAAATCGATATGCTTATAGTTTGAGATTGATATAATTTGCCTAGACAACGTGGGGAGTTGGTCGTGGTCTTCTGGAAAAATCCCGCTCTTTTCGAATTGCTCCTACATCGGGTTCGGTCAGGTATTCTCTGAAATGAACACATTAGGCAGATATTCAAGGTTTTTGCTTTTGTCGCGTGCAATTGGTCACAGCCATCCCTGATTGGCCGGTGCAGTGATACACCACTTCTCATTGGTCAGTTATTCAGAACCGATGTAGGAAAGGTATTCTGTTATAGCAAAACATTTCTGCCTAGTCAAATGCAACTGCACTAAAATCAGCTTGACGTCAGCTTACCCCCTTTACAGATTTTCACGTTTTCAAGCCAACTCAGTGTTTCCTTCATACATTTATTCACTTGTTTGACAAATGCTTGCGTAGGGCAGGGGAGAGGGAAAAAGAACATATGAATGCTAGAGTTAAATTTAGTTATTTCCTGCGCCTTGAGCCTGCACGCTCCTTATTTTTCTATGGAGAAAAGTGAAGTTTATTATATATAATACACTCACCTAAATTCTCCGTCATCATTCGGGTTCAAGGCATCCTTCGATGAGCCTCTGCTGCCTACTGGCTGACGACAACAGTATGAACAACAGAAACACAACGTTATGAATAACACTATGGCTAGTGTGATCACACCGAGCACTAGCAGTGTCATATAGAAGGAATTGGCCTTGATTGAGCCAAGCATTGACACCTGAAACATCCCTGACATTCGAGGCAATGGCGAGCATAATTAATGCGAGATTAGCGCCAAACATTGTACTTGGCTCAAGTACAACTTTTGGACGTTGCAATCGCTGCTACAATGGAAAATGCATGAAATTTGTAGTTCGGAGCAGAGTGTGAGACAAACCTTGGGTGGCCGAAGCTTTACGCAGTTGTACATCTCAATATTACGATTTTCCATATAGACGTTTGTGATTGTACAGGGTAATTCGCAGAGTTCCAGGCATTGTGTGCGATTTGGGAAGGTATGCGTGACTAAATAATAGTTATTTGAGTCCGGCAAGTTTGTAAAATTCAAAAATAACATCCAGGGCTTGGCACAGGTGGCTTATATGTAAGCTGGATATCGTTTTTGGGACAAATAGGCAAAAAGGATATCGTTTTTGGGTCCGAACTTAGGTTTTTTAGTCGACGTTTCGTTTTTTTTAGTCTCGAATATTTTGGATGAGGGTCAAAGGGGACTTCTTAAAATTTTGCGAAAGTCAGGGGGACTTCGTTTTTCGCACTTTCGGAGAGCCACCTCGTGGCGAGACCTGATGATATCTATAATATCCTCACCTGATCGTGGATAAGAAACCACTGAATCATCAATGCTGTAGTCTCTTGTGCCATAATCTTTCGCATAACGATCATTGTATGCTAGACATAAGCTAACAACTAGGAACAATAGTATAATCCGTCGCATTCTGCAAAGATCACGTAAATGCTAAAAGAACTTTACTCAAATGAAGAGCGAAAAGTTTGACGGCGATACTGACATACTGGTAATCTCAGCACAAAGTAGCTTTAAAAGCTTTTGGAACAAAAAATAAATGTATTCGGCTTTCTGTGCTCTAGACATACTGTAGAGGAAAGTAGTGCGGAGCGGATGAAAAACTTGAGAGAAGAAACTGCATAACAGACAGAAAAGATAAGGGGTATGAAAAAGCAAGGAAAGTTTTTAAAAAAATCAAACAATAAAACAGAAGATATGATGGCATAACATGATAGCCTGTAATTTTTTCTATAGAATTCAAGAAAGCTGTAGGCGCTAGAATAATCTGATTCAGCGAATAGAAATTGTAGAGCTATCGTACCTCTTCAGCCGTGCATTTATCAAGAAAAACGATATTTTATTTATTTAAAGTAATGTTAATAAATAAAAACTTATATAATAGTGCTGGCAATTTTTACTTTTAAGAATAAATAATGCATAATAATGAAAAAATCCAATGCACTACAAAGAAGTTGACGAGTGATTTGTGACCAGGGCGCTACAAATACCAAGATTTTTTAAACATAAGTTTTAGTATTTGGTGGCTTTTGAGAACGTATTGTAGGGACGTACTATTGGAAGAAGAATGAGTGTTAAAAGTGGAAAGGGGGTGGGAATAAAAAAGACTCAGAGACATATTTAGACAAGCACATGCACTCCAAACATGTAGTTAACAAGTTGATAGAGGGTCTAACTATATTTATCCATCCATAAGTGCAATTAGAGCCACTGAGAACATTGTTATGGATATCAAATGACAATTGACAATGATAGATTGTCATACACTCGGTTAGGAGCAATCTAAGTAACAAGTGCGGTGAGAAACTGGAAGAAGCAACCTGAATCCATAACAGGGCCCCTGTCCCGGAAAAGTGGCCGAGAAGCCGATTTTGCTGGCAAAGGCCTTCTAAATAATGCAGCATCTACGCGGCTCCTAGTTCTGGCACATGCATTAGCTATCAAAAGTAAACCGACGACGATGCTGTGGCAAGGAGCCGACTTTGGGACACATATGGGTCAAGAAGATATGTGGGCCAAACATTGTTACCTCACGTTGTGATAAGTAGTACCAAAATAGCAAAATTCTCTGCTTTCAAGCTTCGATCCCCTTTTCCCATCTAAATTATATACATGAGAAAATAAATAATAAACCCCTACCCATATCTTCTTCGCTCCCATAGCATCGTTTGATCAATGCAAATTTCATGCCAAAAAATTTTCTTTCTGCATCAACGCCAACACTGGTTTTTCACAAGAAATTAGCATTGAATCTACATATAAACTTTATGAATGGTTCAATGCCTATCAGACAACTCATTAGGGTCGTTCGCTTTTGCATTTCTTTTTTCTCTTCTCTTCAGATAGCGTGAATAATGGAAGATGCTGGCATGGAGATCTAAGTAGTAGGTGACGAGATTAGCTAGTAAACAGCTGTATTGCGAGACGGTGAATTACTAGTTATTAGTTGAGTAACTCAACGGAGTTGAAAAGCTGCAAAAGAGCGCGTAGTTTGAATTCTGGAAAGAAGGTGTGAAAAGAGTACAGAAGTGCAAGACTTGTTCTGCAAAATTGCGAACATTTGCACTAGTAAGCGCGGCAAGCATAGTACAAAAATTGTGACAGTTTACGATATACGGAAGTGATTATGTAAATGTTGGTTTTACAACATAACATGTGAATATGAGGCAATTCAACAGTATCAAGAAAATTCGAGATTTTTTTTAAATTTCGAACAGTGTCATTAGCAACTGTCAGTTCACTTTTTGAGCGAGGGTGTTCAAAAACCTCGTAAATAACTCAAGCTCAACAGAATCTCCACGCGTATGTTTCAGGTGGATGACAACACACCTTCACATGTCTGTCATTCGGTTGTCACTCAGAACCTGGAGCACTTCTCATTCCACCCGTTATGCGCCGTTGTACGAGTCAGCGGCCACGATGACATGTTTCGATGAGCTGCGAAATGTCTTGTGATGTGATACATGCATGAGAAATTGCTGATAGATAAGAGCAGGACAACTGGTCCAAATGGTGTGTGGAACTGGGCACGAGGTATGATTTGCTTTATAGACGAATATATTTGCCACTCACGACGAAGCAGCTGCAAATGTGTGAGATACAGGCAACTAACATGAGAATTTAAATGTCGTTGTGTCGGTGCACATGAAAATGCTAAATGCATCTAGGGAGAATTCTTACGAAAACAATAGCTATTGATTGGCGCTATCGAAACGAAGAACTGTACTGTTGGGAGATAGTTGTCTGTTATCATTTCGGGTCTTTTGTTCGGAAGAGACGCAGCGTAGGTGAAATTGCTCGAAAAAGAATTTCAAAAACGCTATGAATCGGCAGTTTGGCTTTTGCTCAGGAAGAAACTTCAAGAACATCATGCTTAGGGCTCTTCCACTTAGTAAAAGAGCACCGAGCACCTTCCAGTACTCAATTTTGACTCCTTGAGCACAAATGCTATTATTTCGACTCGGATGGACCCGCACAGAAGGGTCTAAGTCGGCCTGCTCTCTTGAGTCTGCAACTAATTATCATTATTAGAGAGGATGCCCGCAGCTGGCCAGCAATTACAGCACGACTTCTGACGGGTTTCTGTGCTAATATCGTCGATAAAGGCTTGAATGATTGAGAGAAGCATGGTCAGAAGTCTCATTTCAAAATGTATAGCTTCGCAGTGAACTTGGCCCCACGAAAGTGATAGCCCGTGGGAAACGTGGGCGACGTGAGAAATATTTTATTTGATGAAACATCGCTTCGGTGCATGTAGGAATTGAGCGAGGCAAATTGGAGGAAAACGGAAGGACGTCGGGACGAGGTAAGGGTAAGCCAAACAAGTTCGGAACTACCCATTCGCCGCACTTTCTTTGCCATGTTGTGCTCGGCAGGGTGAGTTTTTTCGCCGCAATCGTTCGACCCCTTTCATCCCCCCCCCCTGCCTCAGATGTAAGCAAACGATACGGGTCAGTGAGAAAACCTGGCTGTGTGTGTATGTCGGTCCAAGACCGAGCACACTACAGAGGCGAGACAGCAAATATAGATAAACGCCAGCCAGCGTCCAGCGGTATGAGACCCATCTCACTAGCCATAAGTGCAGAGTGAATGGATGAGTGACCCAGCGCCCCACTGAGATGAAGAGCACTCCGTAAGGGGCTGAGGTGTGCTGGTTGGGCCACTCGCCGAAGTCCGAAGTGACTTTTTCGGGTGTCAGCCGCTCTCGGAGAGGTAGCACCAGTTCGAGGAGATTCGAGCGAGGACTTTACCAGAACTACTTTCCTGACATCAAAGAAGGCATTACGCGCCGCGGCGCCAGTGCCCCCTTACCGTAATCGAAACTCGACACTGGCGTTTCAACAAATTTCGCGCGGTGTACGATTTTTTAAGGAAACAAAAAAAAATGAAAACTTTCTAGCGAATACCCGCGTTCCTTCCACTTGCGCGCTTTACAAATTTTAATAATTGAAAAGTGCTAATGAAAACTTTTTCTTAACCGAGTAAATGCGAACACGTTTTCACACTCCTCCACAGCTAGAGAAGGCAGTTCTCCTGCTTTTTTGCCTCCCCTTAATTGTACAAACTGTTGCGCTAGACGCTTTAGCAGTGACAGCCAAAACAATCACACATTTAGGAAATTACAATAATTGCATAAAATTCGCAATTTTGCAGTATTCAGCGAAACCCTGCACAAAGATTTATGCGTGAACTTTGAAACCTTTTGGAGAGCACGTCGAGAATCTAATCAAGTGGATAGGTGCAAGCGTGAAGAAGCGAATGTGCCATAGTTTAGCTGAGTTTTTTTTTGAGATGTTTGAATATTAAAGGGCTATAAATGGAAAAAAGTGAAAAAAATAGTTGAGCTCAGTCATCACAGATCAAACTATGTGCTAAATATGAAATACATTCTTCTATGTATTTCAGCAAAAATTCACAAAATTACTTCCGGCAAAACGCCAAAGCTATTGCACATTCACCGGAAGTACAAACAAATTTTGCCTCTACCTTTTTTTTCGCATTCAACATCATTCACGAAGGGCTGACCTCGATTTTCGTAGCCTTTTTGTAGACTCGCGAGTTGCGTACTAGATTGGGTATTTTGTTCGATTCGGTGTCTATTTGTAGTATTTTAGCGAATGTGTTGGCAATTCTCGTACAGCGATTTCTTATGATAAAAGGATTAATATGCGAGACTCAACGGGATACAGGGATTCACGGAAATAACATCGAGCTGTTAATCAATGAGGGGCACATCGAGGCGAAAGGGGAGACGAAGCTATGTTAAACTTCTTTGATATAATTACTAGTTTTTCGGTGAAAGTGGAAGAGAGGCATTTGGCAGGGAAAAAAGCCAAGAAAATTTAGGATGAGTAAAAGCTAAAGTCTTGGAGAATTAGGGAGGTTTTCTACAGGTCCTCTTCATTATTTATAGCAAATTATTTACTTCTAAAAGGGACCCTAGACCTCAGCTGACCTGTTCAGTTCATTCTCACCCACTTACTCTCTGCATCCGGGCATTGTCATGGACAAGGCTCAGAAGCATTTATCGGCCCGACCACGACCTCAATAACATGCCACACCTCTCTCACCTATTCACAGACACACTCATAGTATCAGTCAATACTATTTCAGTACAATAATTGCCATGGGACCCTTAAAATTCCAAGAAAAAACGGGACATTGCGCCTTTGAACCAAAGCTGGAGAGTAGAAGGCTAAGAAGCAAAAAACAGAATGCTGCCCAACAACTAAGGAGCTTTGATAAGATAAGCCGCTTATGGTGAAGTGATATCAACAAACGAAAATGAGGTCATTTGCACTGTTCGGTTATGATAAGAAAGTCTATGGGAATAGGTAAGTCTTGAAAGGATACTCGAACCGAGGTTAGACTCGTTTCGAGAATTACTCTTGCATGACCTTCAGACATAAGGATAGCATAGGAGTAAGAGTAAGAGGTAAAAAAAAAATTCAGAACTTGATTGGGGTAATTTGGCTACTTGCTATGGATTCACTTAGAAAAAAAAATGTTACACAAAGCAGGAAATAAGAAAATTAGCATAATGTTCAAAAATCATAAATCAATACTCCTGAGTCCAAGAAGGTAAGCTATTGCCTTTCAATACATCTGCGTGAAAATGTGCTACTAACTGCACTACCTATAAAAATCAAAACTGTAAAATCGAAGCGAGAGGAACAAGTTTAGCAGCTTCAGTAAGAAGCACGAAAACATTATGACTCAGCTGTAGTAAACGCTTTGCGGTGAATACAAAATACTATCATTTTCGAGCTGAAAAAATTGCGGACCTTGAATTTTCATTGAATTATGCAATCTCTAAGCTAATTCGCTTTAAAGGACAAAATGGTGAAGACCGACATCTAACAGAAGTGAGAGAAGAATGAGATGAGGATGGTTACCACCGAGGGTAAGAGCCCGTAACCAGCAGCGCAGAGGGAACGGAACTCGCGCAAACAATGCCCGAAGACCTTGGCATGCCTATACGTTCGAGTGCGTTATGAATGCGGCCTATGTCCGTGTAGAGGAGTGGGCGTGTCGCGAGCGTGTGACGCCAAGGTCTCGAAGACACAATTTCAACGTCCAGAAGACATAACGGAAGATGTGAAACATGTGTTAGCAGGTCTTTGACCAAATCCAACCGCCGTAGCCCGAAGTGGCGCAGAAAGGCCGCCGCGTGGTACTGTAGGTTATGGTGGGTTATGCACGTGTTTGTGTGTAAATCACTCGGCCCGCTTTTGGCTGTATCTACTTCACCCGGGTAATTGGCGGCACTTTTGAGCATATGGACCTTTTTATGGGGTTGCGTATCAAAGCCACTTGACCCTTAACGAACAATGCAGTTTTTCCAAATTTTGCTGCTCAAATACTAATAATTGCGCCAATATAAGCCACGCTTTTTCAGGTAGCATTTTTTAGTCGAAACTTCAGCGCCACTTAAATCCCTTCCACCCTCTATTGAGCTTGCCTGACCTCTCGAAGAAGAATTGCGTGGCTAGAAAACTCCCGTTTAAAAAATGCCCCTTCAAAATTAACGAAAGACTCAAAAATCAAGCAAATGGATGATACGTGACCCTATGAGGTGATTTGTGAAGATTAGTGGGTTATACATGTCCTTGTAATGGATAAGCAAACCATTCGTAATGGTGTATATGACCCGGGTCGAGTGAAGCGCGAACAAACAGTCCACAGCTTCGTGATGCTGATCGAGAAGGTGTGAAATTTCGGCTATAGTGTCAGATATTAGCTTAGACATTCTAGATGGAAGAGGCAATACAGTCCCGTTTGAAATTGGGGGGCGGGGGAGGAAAATTTGTTTGAACGCTCGTTGAGCCAGTGAAATGCATAGAACCCTTTGATTTGGGGTAACCAATACCTTGTAGGCAAAAGCTCAATTTTCAAACTTTAGAGCGTCCAAAAAATTTCCCGAGGAACTGGGAGCTAACGAAAATGAATAACAGACCATTTCCAAGTCAGAACGAAACTTTGTTGAGAAAAGAATGTCCTTCAAACCAAAACTTTGATAAATCAAGGTATGTAAAGCCGACAAGTGCAATTGGATCGTGCGAATCCCTTAATGATCATGGTAAAGTGCAAATTCCTTGCTATTTTAGCCATTCTCACGGACGTGTTATCATATTTCATCAAAGAAGTACAACTCCCCAACTTCTGCACACATAATCAATGCAGAAGAAGTAGAAAGCTTAGTGTGGATTGTATTGGAGATGAAGGGGATTATCTCTGGAACTTGTAGAGAAGCCAGGAGCAGAAATATTGCTGTTTGGTGCATTATAATGATGTGAAGATTCTAAAGTAGTTATGGGGAATATAGATTTTTGGAAAAGTCTTAAGACTTAAAGCTGCAAAATCAGAATAAAAATTAGGTTCAGCTATGCGCCAGGATTTGCGCTAGACTTCATCCACACGGATCACTTACCATATTGCTAATTATCTGTACTTTTTGGCCAGTTTTCGAGTCAGACCGGCCCAATACCTACATTTTTTGCTGTTTTGATCACAAGACCATGCCTGACGCAAAAAAATAGATTTTCTCGCTAAAACTTTTTGATCTCATCGATCAGATATGGCTAAGAAGTTCCGGTGGCACCCTCTTCCGATTTTTGATGGCAACATCGCACCCTTAATTGCGGTTGTTATATCTGTTATCTTAATGTTTAGCGATAAATCTAGGTTTGGAGGACATTTAACTGGTACGATCTTGACGATAATGTGCACTCAAGTAATTTGCCAATGTGTGAGAATGCGAGGTTGAGCGATTACTTGGCCAAGCATTCAGGTAACACTTTAAGAACAATGGAAAAAAGTTGAAATTATCCCATTCAACCCTAAGCGCTCTATTTGTCATTAGACGTGCGTTTTAAGTGGGATGAGCTAAGAACTCGGCTGAAGCTCGCGTTTCGCTCATTGAACTCAAATTATTGCACTAATTGCTAGTTGCAACTTCGCTCGTAGCAAAGCTCGATTTCAGTCAAACTATTCTCGAAAAATGGGGGTTCCGGTAGATTAGTTTAGGTCAAATGAAGTCTTCAAACTCATGATCAATCAATAGTCCATCAAATTGTCACCATTTCAGCCTAACTTCATTTCTAATCTTTGTCCTATTCTTGCAAGATTTCGAAACACCTGAATGATTTTTGACTTTTCCTTTTTGAAGCTTAAAAAACGCACGAGCTACTCCTTTTTCCTATCATGTTACTAATAACTGTTTTTTTTTAGGTTCATTTTTATATTTTCTAGCCTTTTGTCCTAGTCGACTTGCAAGATCCCGATACACTTTGAATAATATTCGGGCTTTTCCTTCTTGAAGCTTCAAAAACATACGAACCACTTTTCCTTTTTATCAGAGTATGGCTGGAAACTGTTTTTTTTTTCAAGTTCATTTTTGATTTTTTAGTCTTTTGTCCTATTCGACTTGCAACAACCCGATACTCTTTGAATAATAATTTGGCTTTCCATTCTTAAAGTTTCAGCACTGTACAAACTTCCTCATTTTCCTCTCGCAAAATGGATAAAAATGGTTTTTAGGGGGTTTTATTTTTTGATAATTGTTTTCGAGTTTATTTGTTTGCATTCTTCCCCTATATGCTGAGGCCATCGCGCAAGTATTTTCCTGATCTTTTCTCAAAATTCCGCACAAACTTTCCAGAAGTTTCCTCCTCAAATTCCTGACAAGAGAGGCACATCCACAGCTTCGGGAAATTCTCATCGTATATAATTAGTGCTGGAAGGATTTGTGGACTTTGTGGGATTAGTCTCTGCATCACATCATTGTGTTCTTCTATTTAAGAGAATTTATCCAACTTATCCGAGATCGCATAGAATCACTTGAAAGGAGAAGAAGGGGGGGGGGGGGGTGAGAGACGGCTTGAGGAGAAATTATTTCTTTTACCAGACGGTATAGTATGTTTTTTTCCATATCATTCAGCCTCATTGCCTTTTCATTAGAGCTCAAATTTCTCTTAGTAAATTTCGTGAATTTCTTAACCTTCGGCTATTACAAGTATCAAATTCCATTCAAATTACGGGCACAAGTTCGGAAGCACCTAAACTCGTTATTATTTAAGTCATTCCACCCTCTAAAAGCAATTCCAAGCCACCAGCAACTAACATCATAATAGAAAGTCGAACTTCTTAGCTTATTATCCTTGTGCCGTCACTTGGCAGCAGCCTCGTGTCCCATCGAATTGCCGTATTTCATGTCATTCATGCTGCAATACTTGCCCGGCTATAAAGATCTTAATTGAGCATGAGGGTCAAGATAATTACTGCTCAGCAATGTCGTATTGTTTCGAAGTGCGGTATTTATGAGATGTCAGTAACGTCAATGCCGAGCGTGAGCCGCAACAGCCGGATGTTTTGGATTATGATTTTGTGAAAGGGACGGAGAGAGAGAAGAGGAATTAGTAGTAGCATGGGTTTGCACGATAATTGTACGTCTATTGCTTGGAAACAGCAAGCTGAATTATATGTAAAAATTTGAAATGGAAATTATAAGTATTTTCTTATGCAAATTCACATTTGCCATTTCACCTAAATTCTTGGTTATACAACATTCATCAGATTGAGAGCAAATATTTTCCTCTTTGACTTTGAATGATCTTCTCATGCAGTTTTTTTTTGATTTTTTAATTCATCCAGAAACCACAAACTTGGCCTTTTCACTGTTTGGAGAAATGGGTGAAAGATTTTTTTTGGAAACAATTCAATATGTTTTGGCTTCCATATTCGATATTATTTATTGAGTACTCTTTCAATTCCGTTAACGATTGCAATTATATACATAAAGCTAGAAATTTTGCAACTTAAGTAAAACAATCAATTTTTTAACTATACAGACAAAATTTTCTTCATAGTAGAGAACGAATGTTAGGAGCATTTATGGAAGCTGATTTATTTATTCAGGGCTCGGGACTAGGTGGCTAGTTGAAAATGCAAAAAACGAATTCCCCCTTGACTTTTGCGAATTTTTACGAAGTTCCCTTTGACCCTAGACCATAATCCCTAAAAAATCTCCAAAAAGCGAAACATCGACCAAAAAAACATCGCAAATTTTGTGTCTTTTTTGGCCACCAAAAACCACACCCCCTTTGCTTTTTGTCCTAAAAACGATATCCAGCTTGCTTATAAGCCACCTGTGCCGAGCCCTGTTATTTATTTCGTGGCAGCTCCAAGAGGATAAGAGTGCGCGAACAAATCTCCTTTTTTCAACTAGGCAAAAAATTACGGTAATCATGCTGAGGAGTACTGTAGATCAGCATAAGGTAATCGGCAGGCTTCAACACCTATTCAGAGCTTTTTTTCATCATGAGAATTGTCAGATTGACTGCATTCTATCTTAGCTCATTATATTCTCCCTTGCTACGTTTCCTTTTCTAATATGACTTGTCTGTAAGGCACCTTGTTCCAGCTTTGAGGACATATGAGGAATTTGCAAGTTGAATATAAGAATGAAGGAGTAAGTGCCTGCTGGTGTATTCCAGCTAATCTTCTTATCTACCAATGTCCAGGCTCGCACGAACCAAGCTTACTGTCATGTCTGTGACATAATCTAAGACCATCCATTGACAATCTGACATCACCTAACAGACCATAATAGCCGTATGAATGGGAGCACTGTGTAGAGCATTCGTGAATGTTTTCGGCTGGCTGAGCACACACATTGTTGGCCGACACTATCGCACTGTTAATCTGTAATTACTCGACCTCCGAGGTCCTGTGTGGCTTTGTCATCAGGCCTGTAGTATTTACTTGACGACGTCTTGCCATATGTAACAGGTCACTCCGTCACACATTTAATCCCTCAGAAAACAATAGAACAATAAGAGCATAGACATTGAGTAAAGGTTCCATGCCGAGCAACGGAAGAGTTGGTCCATGATTGCGTATCAGGCATCTTTCAAAAGCAGAAATTCCTTGGTTTTGCAGATCCCCTTAGAAGGGGTGCGAAGAACACAAATTTCTCTTCATCTGTAGTCTATGATTCTATAGTAATCATGAGCCAATGAGAAACATGCAAATGTTGTTCATAAGTTTTACGCTTTCTACTTTCTTCGTCTCTTTCGGAAATTCTCTGGAAAATCTGGATAAGTCTCATTTTATCACTTTAGTCTCACTTCAACCTCCATTTTTCTTCATTTAATTTTCTCATTTTTTGTTTCATCATTTCATTTTTCTTGTGGATTTTCGAGAGCGTTAGTGGTGATATAGAGGCAATTCGGAAGCTTGAGCTCTACAATAAGGCAAGTTGGACATTTGAACAAAAAACAACTAAAAAAACACTCAAAAACTATATTTTCTATGTGTAACATGTACATATAGAAAATCCACAACATTCATTATAAATCAGGAAAAAATCTTCAGAGAAAGTTGGGAGGTGTCCTGCCTTTGAGTGTAACAAAACTTAGGTAACATGTATCATCAAAAAAATAAATACAAATCAATCTATTCTGCACTTCTCACAAATTTGATTCAATCCCTTGACAACAATGAGATTTTAGGCAAATTTTCAGCATTGAATTCTGATGAGTTGCGTAAACAATTTCATGTTAAATGGAAGTCAGAGCTTGTGCACTGCGGAAACCCATGTGAAACGGATCAGGGCTCGGCACAGGTGGCTTACGAGCAACCTGGATATCGTTTTTGAAACAAAAAGCAAAGGGGGTTTCGTTTTTGTGGACGAAGAGACATCAAATTTGCGACGTTTTTTTAGTCGACTTTTCGTTTTTTGGAGATTTTTTCAGGGATTATGGTCTAGGGTCAAAGGGGACTTCGTAAAAATCTGCAAAAGTCAAGGGAGACTTTGTTTTTTGCGTTTTCAACTAGGCACCTCGTGCCAAGCCCTGAAACGGATCTTTGGTACTCAAAAGAAAATTTTCCTAAAAGTGCTGTGGGTCATCGGTAGTTCGCGCTATTTTTATGGATGGAATTACAGTATTCGTTTTATTAATTTCCTTTGTGTTATAAATGAATTTTATTTACATCATACTGTAATGTTTTGATTTATATTCTAAACTCTTCCAAGTTCTATGAATATTTATGCTCCTCATTGTGAAACTTCCCATTTTCTTTTTCTTACCATTAGGGCCTCAATGATTTTCGTAGAAACAGCACTCAGTTTTTTTTCTCTGAAAACCGAAACTTGCTTATGCATGTCGCCACATTTCCTATTCAGCACATTCTAACAATTAAAACGCTGAGTTTTTTGGTTCCAAATTGTTTTCCGGAGCACGATGCCATTACACTTAAGAATACCTGCTACCATAAATGTTGCTGAAACTAATTGGTTTAGGTGCTTTTCATTTGAGGGAGAAACTTTTGTTATAGTGGATCGTTCAAAGGTTTTTTTTTCGTTTTTTCTTTCAGACAAGAATTTCTATAGAACAGCAATCATTGATTAACTTAACTTGCACCCGATGCAGCATTGTCTTCTTAATAGTTAAGCCTTTGGAATTGTCTAATCAGCTTTGTATAGTAAAGTTTCCCACCCATCATTTTCACTGCACTCTAAATTTTTTTCTGAAACTATCCAGAAAAGAGAGGTCGGAATTTAGCGTTATTCATGCCCTTGTTCACAATTTCCTTTGAAGGATAATAAATGATTTAATTTCTTGCGAAAAAAGTAGAGTAAAAATTTTGAAAATTGGAGATTGAACAGAAAAAGCAAGCTCATAATTTCAATAATAATCTGATAGCATCCACTGTTATTTTATCAAGGTAAACCTGCTAAATTTGGGGGAGGAAAGACTGCAACAACGTTATCGAACAAAAATGATTGCTGTTTTTCAAAGCTAAGTCCTGACTGGAAAACAAGTGCTAGAATTCTCAGAGTTATAATAGCAGTGACAAACTTGAGTATGCATAATCTCCTGGTTTTATGACAAATTTGAGGTTATTCAGGATTGGATCATGCCCGTCTTTCAAGTGTAAACAGTGATTTCATTTGTCAACGTCTAACGGCACCACTTGCGAAAATGGTATGTTTCAACAAGGACTGGTTTGCTATGAACTTTGAAACTAAACGCAGAAACTTCAGTACTACGATGGACTAGGTATGCACATTCCTCTAAATTATTGCACATTTTTTTAAAAATCAAAGACGCTGATAGTGAAGATCGTCCTGTTTATTTCTTTTTAACCTACACAGCTGAAATCTTGGTCCGATCAAGAAAGTTCTCATCGTTTCCGATCGATTCTTATTTCTGTCGGGACTCGTGAAATGTGAAGTGACTTAGCAAACAATCCAGGCGAAGCTATTTATCAGCCGCATGGCGATTAACTTCTTCAACTTTTCTTTTTTCCCTTGTCGCGCAAGATTTTATTCTTCTTCCTACAAGAATGTGTGAACAATGCTACGGCTTCAGTTTATTTGGAAAATTTGTTCTTACCCAAAATCATTCACCTCCTTCGTGTGCTCATGACTCACTCAAGACTCATTCGATCGCACTCACACTACATGAATCGTATTTACAGTGGCGTAGCCTGAGCAGCGCACATTTTGACTTTGCGATGAAAAACTTGAGAGTTCTAGGAAATTTACAGCCGGATTTTGCTCATCGACGTAGTTGTTCCGCTTAATAATCGTAAAGCCTAGAAAATTCAGATAAGCTGACAAACTCTTTTTTTTTCACTTGGGGAATTTCTTGTGTTTACGGATATTTTTGCGCATTAATAAACTTTCCAGTTCCAGCTTTATTGCTCTATTTTCACACCCTACAAATATGGCTGGCTTCAGCTATAATACTCATGAGGGTGACACCTTCGAAGATGATTTCCTGTTATGTTGTGGACTTTTTTACGTAACGGTAATTTCCCATCTATTTTTTGAATGATTTTTTTTATTGTTGAGTTAATTGAAGGTGTATATATGTTTCTGATATCGGATTTCAGACGGCAGCTAAATTTTTTTCATGTTACTTTTTCGTGGTTTGCTTATTAATCTCAGGACTGAACTTTCTCGCCTTTGGATTTGATCAAACTTGGTAAGCTTTTATTTCCCAAAACAATGATTTAGCATGTAACTTATTGTAACAAGTGCATCTAGCTTTTCAGGTTTTCCATATTTTGTGTGTTTTTCACTGTATATTCCTTAGCAACTGTTTATGGTGTATTTCTGGAAAAGAAAATATTTCTCATACCTTTCATATTTGTCCAGGTAAGTTCCGGCGTCAGCTTATCTTTCGACGATTTAAGAGAAGAAAAGCTACTGAATAGGGTCTGGCTATATTATCTGCATGTAGAGTATTCTTCTCTACTTTAGATTACTTTGATTTTTTACCAACATCTTTTGAAGAAGAAAAGCTACTAAATAGGCTTAGGCTGTTTATCTGCGTGTAATAGTGGCAGCGATGGTTCTCATTCAACTTTTTGGATTTTTTGATTTTTTTTACCATGAGAAGTAGAGCAAAAGACATTATTTTTTTCGATTTTGTCAGAATCTGCTCAAATATGAAAGTCTATTTTGAGCCGTTATCAAGAGAGGTCAGAAATTGTAATTTTCAAAGGTTCTTAAAATAACTTCAGTGTAATATTGAAGGCTGCAGTTGCCAAAAATCTGTATTTTGTTAACTGTTTTCGGTTCGGGCATTAAAAAAGCTAACCATGAAAAAATCTGGGAAAAAATTATAATTTTGATTACACCTTTCTTCGTATAGAACAGAGCTCGAAATGGATACAATGATTCAATGCTTGTCAGTGATGGAAATATTGTTATGGTCAGAAATTACTCACGATATTCTCATAAACATAGAGTAGACGTTAGATCTCACACTTGATTAGTTTCTAATTAAAAAAGTGTAGAAACGCCCCCACGCCCAAGACCTAAAGATTTGCCTACGTACCAGCACGATTCTTTTTCTTCATTCATATTTACGAGGTCAAAAACTCTTGTCCACATTGTTTACCACTTTCTTAGCCATAGCTAATCAGCTTTAAAAGGAGAGGGGCGCAAATCGTTAGGGGATTATCCAAGTCGAGCTCGAACCAACTCATTCAGGGCTTGTTGGCCGCCATAGTATTCATCTGTGCTGCTGCTTTTGCATTCTTGGGAATCGCAACGAACGCTATTCAGCAGCATCATACCGACTCTCGTCCTTTGAGAGATCTTTACTTACAGTACGAACTGGATCCAGACGACGAAATCAGTGAGTTTGGCTTTAAAAATAGTTCAGAAAATAAGATTTCCCGCTAAATATAGTGTGATTGCGGTGCCGAGATTGCGCGACAACACTTGCGCGTGAATGTATTGCCACGCCAGTAATGCCGACATTTTTGCGCGCGCAAGTGGACTGCATTACACGCGTAGCTATTGATCCACGCGCAAATTTGGTCACTTTTGGCATCGCAAGAACATTATAAGCGTAAAATTTTTTGGACCGAGCAATTGAGCACTTTTTTCCAGCACAAACAGTTGCTTCATGGTCAGTACTAGTCATATTACTAGTAATACTAGGAATATCTGTATTTTCATGGTGGGTAATCTACAACACTTACCGTATCTATGCATCCAGAGATCGCGCAAACCAAGCTGGATATCAACAAGGTCTGCCTACTACCGAACGCCTGTAAATTGTAACTTTTGACCATTTTATTGTTTTTTGTAAAGTTTTTTGTAATTATTGAGATTCATGTAAAGCGATTTTTGACAGATATACAAACAAGAACAAACATAATAACATAAATACATATCTTAATGAATATAGCTTTTCTTTGAATTTAGTGGTAAATATCGTGAATGATCCTCACAACCACCTATGAGCACCTTTTTGCAAGTTAGTGGTAAGATGAAGATGAGCAATGAGATCATAGAAACAATCGCTAAAACTGCTCTAGTGCCAAAACGGGGCGTGGCAGTGAGCAATAACAATAAGATCAATGTTGCTAGTGAATTTAACGTGAAGGCTAGAGCCCAAGAGCAGTAGCTGGCTGAACATGTGCCTATCCGTATTCGCACAACCATATCGCTAAGATAGATGATGTGAATATTCTGTAACAAAAACTTTCTTTTTGGAAAAAATGGTGATTTTTTCAAAAATATTTTTATCAAAATCCCTGCGGAGCAGGAATGATTTTATCATATTCAAGCATATATGTGTCGCGAACAAAAGATGAAGTGAATCGAAAAGCTTAGTCCAATTTAGCTAATTTTCTAATTTTCCCATAAGACAAAAAGTGGCGTTTCCAGTGCACCTACGAAAAAAAAATGGAAAAGGCTTAGAAAATCAGAAAATAACTTTTACCATCTTTTTCTTACAATTTGGAAAAAAAATGAACAGTACTCTGTAACTCACCGTAATCGTAATGAAATAAATCCAAGATGCAAATGGACGAGCGGTATACGGTACTAGGTAAAAAGATACCAATGCCGATATCCATACTACAAAAAAATGAGCTGTACAATCCTCGAATGATGTGAAAGGGTAAGTTATGCAGCGATCTCCAACGACAACCAGGATCAGCTGTAAGGGAAAAATATAATATTATTCATGACTTATTTTTGGAGTGTTTTAAGATTGTACTTTTTGTTTGTCTCAGGTTATTATGTTTCAAGTCACACATACGTAACTATGAGATATTTTTGCTTTATCCAAAAATGATATCGACCAAAAACTCATTTTTTTCCAGTTGTATAAAAAATGCTCTATGAGAAGTCCATGATCATATAATAATTGGGTCTTGGCTCAAAAAATAAGGGTTATAGAAGTAGAAAACAAAAGAAAAAAAACGACTCAAATGTTTTCGAATCACCGTGTAGGGATTGACAACGGCTGTCTATTGAAATTTCTACGAAAAATTTTCTTATTACGGTCGAAATAAGCGCAAAGTTGAATTGACGCCGAGTCTTCCGAAACTTCTATAAAAACATCTGTCAAAAATTAATCAAATGCACACGCCAATTGTCTCTACTTTTTCCAATTTTCCTCGACTAAAGATTCTTGCCGATCCAAGCATATTCAGCACCTACGCGTGGAGCAAGATCGTAATCTCAAAAGTAAATAATGAAACATCAATCGTGGACGGAAACAAATCATTTGGAAAGCGCGTGGGAAAAATGCCAACTAGAAGCTAAACTTACTTTTCTGAAGATCAGAGCGCCTATAAGCACTAAGGTTGCTAATGTGATCAACTGTTCGTCTGGATGGGCGTCGTAGTATTCTTCCATTTCCCCTCTAAAATTCAAAGGAATTTGAAGGTAAGTAGTAGTCCCAAAGGTGGGTGTTATTTACCTGGCATTATGCCAGTGCTCATTCAGATCAAAAAGCGGATATGTCCACCAAATCCATGGTTTCACTGGGCCCATTGTGTAGTGATAAATAATCGGCTCCACAAGTTTCCTTCCTCCTTGAACGTAGTACATTGCGATATCGTAGTTGAAAGCGGCCGTGAGCCTGATAATACCTGGACCTGCTGTTATTTTCCACCAAGGCTGTACTTTGAGATTTCAAAAATCCTTTTACCTCCTCTGATCAGATTGGTATCGCTGATTATTTGGGTGCTCGTGGTCAAACATAGGGGCAAACTTTAACTGATCAAAGTAGGAATTCATAAAGCCCTGATCTCCACCGTCATATGTGGCTAGCTCGGGAGCTTTGGCCACCAAATCGTTATAGACCTAAGAAAGACGCATGGATACATTTTAGATGAGAATTCCAAAACAATACCGTAATATTTGACTTCAAGACCAACAACCCAGCATTGAACTTGTCCGAATGACGAAATGTTGCACAAAATGAGCCACATTGGAAAAATGGCGTTAAATCTCGCATAGGCAAAACGTCCAAGTCAAGGTACATAATGACGTCATACTCAGTCATTGACCATAATCGGAGTTTCGTGTACTGTAACATATAATAGCTTCGTCAAAAACAAAGCATTTCAAGAAGTAAGAAATGCTTCAGAGATTTGAGCTACTGACGCAGACAATGCGTCTACCGCGTCCACTGCGGCGTCGCGTTTCTTGCCGGCAGAGGCAATACATGGATGCAAGATACGCAGACAGCTGCTGCAGTGACGTAGGCACGAGCGCCGTCTACATCGGCACACTCAGCACGAAATTGTACCATAAGTAAGAATAAAAAACTTGCATGATATTTAGCCTCCTTTTTAGCATGTGGAACTGTGAAAAATGATGTGTGATGAACAGTGATATTGTGAGATTCCAGCTCAGCAATGCTTTCACTGCTGACATTCTCCGTTACCAGTAAGATATACGGCACAGACATGTTCAGAGTTTTTAGGCGATGGGCTGAAACAGGAAGTAAAAATTTAGAAAACAAAAATGCTATTTTTAAGTAGCATAATTATTTTCAAGTGGATAACGAAAAGTATAGAGTAGATTTGATGCTGATTATAGTGTTTTGCGCTGCCCACAGCTTGTATGCGTAGAATTTGCATTGTGCGCTCCATGGTTATTTCAACGCGCAAGTCACAGGCAAGCCGTTGCAGGCCCATAAGCATGACACTTTTTTAGCCCAAATGCTGTCATCCTTATAGGGGCACTATATCAAGCATCAAATGTGCTAGACTATAAATCTTTGGAAATTTTATCTTTAATTCAAGATTTTCTGAGATTTTCAGACTCTGCTGAGGACTTGACTTGTCAATAAAGTGTTCCAAATAAGGCTTTCGCAACTTTTTTTAAACAAGTCAGACTTTTCGGAGGGAATGAGTACGGGAATCGTGTACTACAAGAAAAAAAGGTGAAACTACCGAAAAAAGCTGAAAGATAGTGAAAATATAAAATATAATATAGTCTTTTGCTCTTATGTTTACTTCGTATGCACTTGTAAACCCGAAAGCAGCTAAGTACAGAGCAAACGAAACATTTTCTCAATTAGCTGACTCACCCAAAACCATAGCTGGCAACAAAAATCCGTCATTAGTTAGAATAGACATTATCACCAAATTTTCGCCATATACGAAAGCGATGTTGGTGAAAAGTAGAGCAATAATAATGAGAATCATAGCTAGTCCAACTGAAAATATCTGTGAGGGTGGGCATTATCCAGCACCATAGCGACGAAGCGTTGTTTAGGAGAAACGGCCGGAAGGGTCGAGGAAAAGAGCAACTAGAGCTTCTAGGGATCCATGAAATTCAGCTAGTGAGTCACACATGAGCAATAAAACGGGAAGTGCACAAAAACTGATATCCGCGGAAGGAAATTGAGAAAAAAAGCGAGAGATATTAATTTATGAGTTTTTGCAGGTCGAAATTCGCAAGCTCGTACGAAATTAGATATTATCCCGTCTGCATATTCTACTCTTCTGTGCTTGTTCTTATAAAAAAGGAAAATTACCTCTGTAATTTTTACTGTAAAGATTTATTGATTTGCACCAGCTGATTAGATAAACGCTAGAAAAACAACACCTATTACAAAGTCTAGATAGATCTACGATAAAAAAAAATCCCATTAATGCTTGTATAACCTAAAAATTGAACAAAACAATTTGCTCATAATTGATGTATCACAAGAAATTCTAGTAACAATGAATTCTTGAGAACAGACAGTATTATCAAGACTGATTACTGGCACTGACATTATAATCCTTGATGATTCAAAGTGTTTGTAAGTGACAGAAATCGAGCGATAAGATTTTTTTCAGTAGCATAGTTAAAATGCCTAACGATTTTACTTTTGTTACAATTTCATCTTATAAAGAACTAATTGAGCCCTTATTAAAGATATGGAGCTCAAATTTTTTGAATCAGCTTTGCACGTTTCCCTTAACATCAGCGAGAACATTGACATTCTATAAATTTTCAAATTAACAGAAAACATGGGAAAACTGGGATAAATTTTCCAGAAAACCCAGCCCGAGCACATACATTGATAGCTACGAGGCTTCTAACGATTGATTCCGGTTCAAAGCGATCAAAGGCCGACTGATAAGGTTCAGTATACGTAGCATTGTGACTCATTATTTGTTCGTAGAGGGTACATAGGTGCCATCTCTCATCATTTCTACGAAAAGGGAGCGGGGGGGGGGGAAGGGACAAGGTTCTGAAAATTGCTTACAAAAATGCTTTGGAGAAGAAATTCGGAAACAATATGAAGTGTCTAGCAGCTGAATAGGTTGTTTCGTTATTAGCAATTCTAGCGAAACAAAATTCAAAGCATTGGAATGGCTGGGAAAAAGTGCAGCGAAGAAGTTTCCATGATTATGAATAAAAATAGGATTGTCATGTGTCAATTATCAAGTCAATTATTAATTATCAAGCCATCAGTATATTTTGCTGGAAAAAGCACCTGCTCAAATTAAAAAAACAATACCTGCCAATTTTTATGACTCATCTACTACAAGCTTTCCTACGGAATTTGTTTTTCAATCTGTAATAGCTTTCCAACGATAAAGGGCTCTCTATTGTTCCAGTCATCAAAACTAGTATTAGAGCGACGATTAGAACGGATAAGCAGTGAGACACATTCGTCAAGCTGAAAAGCGCAAATAGTGAGAAAAACAAGATAGACAGAATGAGCATAAAATGGAGAAGAATGTATTTCCTCTGTTTATTGATTCATTTTCGTTACAATTCATGTGGACTGAGAGTTATCGACGACTGAGAAAACATGTTGTTATGGGGGGCAAAGTAGAATGTGCGAGGGGAATTTTGGATATGTTATTTACTAGAGAATGAGTAAACAACTGTACATTGCTATGCTCTGATTATGACAATCAGCTCACAGGAGCTTACAACGCAATCTGAGAATTTCGAAATAAATTATTATATGGCCTTCGAAAAAGCTTGTGACTATAAATCAATGAGCAAAGTAAATTTGCAGCAATTTTATAGCCAGATTTATATCTTATGAAAGATTTGTAGTCTTACGTCAGCATACAAATATTGCACCTGGTTCTCGTAAAAAAGTGTTTCCATGTTTTCAAAGAACTTTCAGATAAACGACCCAATTTTCTTGCCATAATAGTATGGAAAAAAATATCTGGAGGCAGAACTTCCTATCATCGGAATTATGATAACGATAAAAGGAATAAATAGAGTCACTGCACTTTTACTAGTCCATAGTTTATGGAAAATTCTTCTAGGAGCAATTCTTCACGAAAACCAAAGCACATTGGGGTCGACGATACTACTTATTGTAGTTTAAGTAAAACTATCACTTGGCAAGTTTTCAAATATCATTGTGCACTTTCTGTAACTCTTCGCAATTTTGTATAATCGACCCTTACCTTCAACTAATTGACTACAGAAGCTATATTACAGATCAGCAAAATAAACGGTCAAATACAATAGTTAAGAAGCGTACCCATATTCATACCAGTCACCTCGCACACAAAGAAACCAACCTATGGAAAAGCATCAGAATGCCAAATCTTTAAATTCAAAATGGAAAAAAGCTCTTGGAATCACTGGACAGATTCTAGGAAACAATGTTTACACATCATAAAAAACGGAGAAATGCTGGCGAAAACGCGGATTAGTTAGGTGTACCTATAGAATGAAACATCGTTCGGAGGTGTTGCGCTACGTTTGTTTAGAAAGATTTTGGTCCCAAACGAGAACAGCGGTCAGAATGTTTCGCTGATCAGTGGTTTTTCTGGAAGGTCTTGAACACAATTTCGAAGATTGTGAAATCATTTTTTGTAATAATCACAGGTGAGCCACCATCAAGTACTTTTACTTCTTTCAGGCCTTTCCTGTGGAAGGATATCTTGATCAAATTGCTATAACGTTCTACTCGGTGGCTAAATGTGTCAGCATGTAGCTCCTGGGAAAACTAAATGTTATTAGAAGTTATTGACAAAGAACATTTAATGTTAGAGGTCACACCATTCCTTATCGAACAACATTTGTGATCTTTGCCATTCAATCTCGTTATTCAGCAAAACCATCGAGGCGTCTGTTGTATTTTGTTTCCACTCTCTCAAACTTTAATAATTTTAAGTGTGTCTTTTTATTAGGATAATTTGTTGACGATCATCTTGAAATTTATGATAACCATCTGTTTTCTTTTTTATTTTCGATTTGACGAGTTCTAGTAAGATTATTGAGCCGTCTTTTGTATTCCTTCCCAACTGTGAGACGGGTGTACAACTCAGAAAGAGGTTTTTATAAGTCTGTTGAAATTTGATATTCTATGAAATCTATCAAAAATAAGTGATGTTGAAAAGCGTCAGAACCCACTGCAGACAAGATATAAATTACGTTTCATTGATTGTGCAATGCCAAGACCAACAAGTTCACTTTTTTTTCTCTTTCATACAAGTGCAATACAACTTTTTGTTATCAAATGCATTTTATAGAAACCTTGGAACGTTGCAGCTCCTAGATATCGCATCTCCTATTGCTCTATATGAGCTTTTTTCTATTCTTTTTTTCATTTCCGAAACTTCGGAAATAGAAAGTTTTCCATACACTTCTATGTTTGTCAAAACGCTTAAGTTTTCTGACTATAGCTCTTATCTATTTTGATTTCGAATAAACTCTTGTTTGAGCAATGCGTATAGAGGGAACCGTTTGCTTGAAAGGCATTGAACTGACATTTACACTTCATATATTAGATTAGTGCAAAAGTAATGCGCGTTTTTTAGCCGATGTTTTAGGACAACTTTTTTCCTAAAAACCCTTCTTTGAAAAGAACTTAGCATACTCCAAGAAGCTCTTCTCATGCTTTATCCAGGGGTGTGGTGCGGAAGGCGACAATCCCCAATTTTGTGCTTATCAAAAACTCTCCGGTGTCAAAGTGACACCCCGGGGGACCACGGGGGTGGGGGGTGGGGGCAGATACATTACTCAATGCCACAAGTAGAAATCCGTGAAAGTCATTGAGACGAATGATACACAGCCTCCATTTTTCGCCGATTGTCGCCTTCCGCGTGCCCCCCCCCCTTTATCCAGTGGTGGTTAAAAGGGGCTGCTAGTCATATTCGTTAAAAAATTCACAGAGCTTCACACAACAGCACTCACTAGAAGTTCAAATTTACTTTTCTGGCCAAAATTCAAGCGCGAATGGCGATATGCTTTTTTAAATTAAGCTATTTTATGTGCTAAAAATTTTCTACATTATGCACTAATTTTCTACATTATGCACTTCTACACTATTATTTTCTTAGAAATACTCTCGATCTCGGCGCCTTAAGCTGGGTAGTCGTTTTGGTCATTTTGTGTAGCATAAAATACCTTTGAAAAAGGCAGTCGCCAAAGCTTTGCTCATTTCTGTAAGCGTACGGATGGGTCTCTGTTTGGCAGTTTTTGCAAAAATTCTCAACTATTAAGTACACAGAAAGCTGAAAAACTCGATATTTCGAGACTTCGAGGCTCACAAAAATGGAAAAAGCTGACAATTTTAGACTTTAATTTTTTCCTTTTCGCAAATCTTCTTTGTTCGAGTCCTTTCCACCTTTTTTGTACTACTGGCCTGCGGCTACAAGATAGGCCACTTATTATTTATAGAAACAAATTCTGAAGGGAGTACGTCAAAGTGAGAATTCGCAAAACCATTACTTTTACACCAAAAATAGCAGTGATTTTTTTCACTAATTATTAGGTTGTAACAGAATTAATGCAGGTTTTCTAAATTTTGAGTTTGGACAACTATATCTTTTCACAGAAATAGTCAATCCGTTTCCAATAAAGACTACTGCAATCAGCAAACCTTTGGGAATTTAGTACGCACTACTATGTCGTCATAGCTTCACCGAGGAAAATTTTATAGCCTAAAGATTGTCAAAATTTCTCTCGGAAAACCTTTAATTTGAGAGGCCATAACTTGCTGCACAATTCAGTAGAATGATACAAGTTTCACTCAATGCGTAGACAATAGTTGGTTGTGCAGCAGCATTAAGCTTAAAATTTGCGAAAAAATTTTGGCTAGAAAATATCGCAAATAATTTGTGATCACTCATTTTTATTAATTGCTCTAAAAAGGCGAAAAAGTCCTTTTGCTGTATTTTAAATTTTCTCGCCGCCAAAGAGAATAACAACCCGTTTTTTGCCATCGAATGTACTGTGCCTATTCTTTGTGCTCAGGACGAAAGCTCTGCATTTGCTGCGCACTAGGATTTTTATACGCCGCAGAATGATAGCTGCTTTTGTTTGGGTTTGAAATGAGATTTCTCATTCTGGAAACTTTTAAAAAATTTGCTTCAATCTGTACTTTGTAGCAAGGGTCACATGCAAACATTATGTCAGTCTGCGAAAAATTCCGATTTTTCAATTTAGAGCAGAAAGTTTGAAAAGAAAATAATTCAGAGTTTAGCTTTTTGCATTTGAAGGCGCGTAATTTCGGGATGAATCCACTGCTCTCGAAACGAAACATGCTTACGAAACTAGAAGAAGAATGCTTTCAGATGATACGCATGGTTTTTTGAGACAGTGGAATATCGTTTTGAATCAGCACATTGAAAAAGAGGTGCGAAAAACCTGCATTAATTCTGTTACAACCCAATACTAAATCAGAAGTGCAGAAGAAAACTGCTGAATCAGTTTGTTTTTCAGCAGAGTAGGGTCGTGTTCTAGTTGGTCAGATGTTCATATGGGCAATTCAATCAAGCTATGACATAAACCTGCTCATGTTACGTTCTACAATTTTTTTTGATAAACTCTTTTCCCATAAATGGTACTCCGTGTTGTTCAGCGATTACATCAATCATTGCAAAATCACAACAAAATTCGATGCACAACGTTCAAATAGACGTAAACTTTACATTTGTGTTTTGTTTGAGGGTCATGCGTCATCACGTCTAATTCGTACACGTTTTTCGCAAGAGAAATTACAGTCGATTTCGCGAACAAAGCCCATTGAAGATGTTTTGTTGTTGCGGTGAATTCGCTTGTAAAGTGAAATTCGTTAAAACATTAGCGAATTGGGTGGAGCTAAGGGGAAAACATTCGAAGAACACTAGGCACATACCATAAACAGGCGTAGGCGGGGATTTTCTGAAGGGGGGGGGGTGGAGGTGGGGCGAGCGCCGCGCACGCTTATGCCTAACCGCAATCAACCGCTGTCGACATGGACAAGCAGGTACGATTGAGTGAATTGCCCATATAAATATCCGACCGACTGGTACAGTACCCTTACCGTACTCTGTAAATTCTATACCGTAACCCCGCTCTTTTTTCCACTACCGTCTATGTAAAATACGCATTTGCAGAATGATGACTGCAGTTACTGCTGCCTTACGATCATCGCACTTTCCATAGCCTTTTGTTCGGCTGTGATCACATTTCTCGTCGCAAATTATATGTACACTGGCCTACCGTGCCATAGTGAACCGCAACCGTTTGCTTTGAAAAATGAAGAGGTTAGTTTTTGCAATTTATTTACATGAATTCTCCTTGACCCTGCCGAATTTCCATATCGAAACTCGGTTGAAGTTGACCAGTCACGTGCTAAACGATCGTAGTTCATCGTATCAGCTGACGTAGCGTTGAAAATGAAAATGACCTCAATAAGGGATAGTTGTGAATCTTAGAACTTGTAAGATACAAAAGGCGGAAGCACTAGTTTTATTTTGCCACATCGTGAGTGCCTCAGCCTCCAGTGAATTTTTCAACTTATTTCTTTTAGGAATTGATTTCAAAGATGCAATGACTTAGTCAATTATAAAAATTCCAGATTCATATTTTATCAGAGCACGTAGAAATAAGTAGTAGCCTTTCATTTCTTCTCTATTCTCAAATTCACTGAAGCCTGTTGGTAACGTTTAATTTTATTTACCTGTAAAAAATAATTTTGTTGATGCCTTAATTTTTTCATATCTATTGTTTCTGAGTCTCGCACTTTTGTCATTGACAGCAAGAATTTCCTTATGCTTCGCTACTTTTCTTTTTCTCTCAACTTAACTCATAATGAAATTGTTTTTAAGAGACTCAAATTTCAAGTTAGTTAGCTAAGTTAAGTCTACTTGAGTGGCTCTAAGTTTATCTTAAATTACATCAGAACTGTGACAGGGATGAATATTCAAACATTTGTTGAAACTAATCAATGACTCAATGTCAGGCTGTATAGGTGTGTAGAAGTTAGTAAGTAGATTTCAACGAAATCGTACTGTGGTATAATTTTCTTCTTGACCACAACCAAATTTCTCAAAATTTCATGTTTGACCGAGAACATACTAAAATAAATTTTTAACGTAAAATTTATCAATGACTTATGAAATTAGAAAGCATCTCGATTTTTCGGTGATTTTTCCCGAGAATAAAAAAATTTATGCAAGCGATGGCTAGCTTCTTGTCAACTGCTCTTATTTCTTTCAAAAAATTAGCCAAGAATGTAGCAGTTGCCGCTCTATGTATTAGCAGCAATATAAATAAAAAAACAGAGAAGATCATAAAGAAGTATATTTTAATTTTGCTTTCATTCAAAGTACTCTTCGAACTTTCTGTCCCGTGGCAAGGCTGCGGATGAGCGCGACAACTGATACGAATCTCCCTCACATAGTTGAAATTGTCAAAAAAATGCCCATTCTTCTATTTTCTATGCGCGACACACCCAAGTTGGCGCGCGAATTCGTCATCAGCGGCGATCGCATGATATGTCAAGGTGTGCGATTCATGATCCGCTACAGCGCAGTGCATAGAAAGTGAACAGCATTGTTCCAACGGCGATTGTCCATGACTATTGCGATTGGCCAGGCATAATAGTGGAAAATCTTGCCTCTTAGTCTGCTAAAAGAAAGAAATCGATTTTTTTGTATAGAATCCTAGAACGTAATAGAATGACGCAGCCAGTCCCGACACTACCAACTTGTTCTTACACCAGTACGTCAGCAGTGGCGCGGCGACAATTGCAGCGTAATCCTTGTCGCGATTAATGACGGGGAACTAAGCCGTTCACAATCAGAAAATAACTTTACAATAAAATTCTTTTTTTTCAGTTGACATGGGATGGAAGCGATCGTCTAGTGGTGGCTAGCAAGGTGAGCACTTTTCTCTATGTTTTTTTTCGCTATTTCGACACTTAACCCGTGTGGAATTTGTCGAGAACATGACTGGAATTCGGGCGTGAACTCGACGACTTGACTTCGCACATTCCATTTTCGCGTTCGCTATTGAACCGCCATTTATCGTCTAACGAGCTGTGCGATGCGTCTTATCAAAACATAGCAAATCGCATTAAATGAAAAGGGATTCAACTGATTTAACTGCTTTCACGGTTTCTCAACACTAAAAATCACCTTAAAAAATTCCAAGCATTTCTGACTACTTCTGGGTGCCTCGAAAGTAAGAAAGTTCGCGTGAAAGCATTAGACCTCTCGAAAAATTCAAGATCATCATTAGGATGTTTTTTTTAGCAAGGAAAGGTCTAGAATTGGAAGAATGTTACACTAAAAAGATGAAAAGAATGTTATGTATTTTACAAGGGGAAGAATTTGATGTAGAATCGTAGCAAAGCAATGCTATTTTTCTGAACGTCTAGTGAGTAAGTGTGCGAATGCACACCGTACAAAAATCATGAACTACGCTTGTTCCGCTCATTTTTGACTGAAATCATCATTATGCTGTATGATACCGAATTAATTTCGAGCATTCCACTACTCTTGTTTTAGTGCATATTCTAATCAGTTTGCAACGACTGTGTATAACATTGTTGTGCAAATGCACACATTATCCGCCAAATATATCTAATGTAACCTTGATCTTTTAGTAGTGGCGCAGAATTAGATAAAGTTGTTAAAGTAATCGTAGAAGATTGATAGTACATGGCATCCATAGCCACTATAAGATTTGTTTAACCATGAGAATTTGTTCCAGTGCTCAAAACAAATGGTAAAAGGAGTAAACTGAAATTCGAAGTTCTTTTCCATTTTTTTAACCCTTGTAAGACTGCGTCTTTTAAGCTCCGAGAAGCTTCGTCATAACACTTCTTTTTCTCTAAAGTTCAATTGCAAAGAAAGTTCAAGTCGTGAATTTGCCGTGACAAAGTTTTTCCTCAACTTTAAGACTCGTGGTGTTGACATGAAAAGCGTTTGCATCGAAGACAAAGGCATCAGACCAGTTCGGGTGTAACATGGTGAGACGTTTGTACCCATTATGGGAGAACCTGAGTATAAATCTCGTAGGGAGATTGGTAAATTCAAGCAAGGACCATACATTACAGAATTACTTGAAAATTCTGTAATGCGAAGTGCAGCAAGTGAAATTTTGATTTTTGCTCAAGGTGTAAACACTGAACTTTCTATTATTGTTATTCTTCCAAGTCTCCTTGTTTTCAGCCACTACTTTTATTGCAATTTTAGAATGACTTCTCAAAATAGTGATCAATCATTCTTACCCCTATTTACTCTCATTAGTAAATTCTGCAAATCTAGCGATCAAGGTGAAAAATAGTTGGGAGCAAAGTATGAATTACTTAGTTGCGTTGTTGAGTTGATCCATAAGTCATGCACCAAAAATTTCGAATTTCTCAATTTACTCCTACGAATGCTTCGTTCCAATAGCTTGTAGAGAAGAAGTCGAGGGAAAAATTGTGCTTACTGCTCGTATGCAATTCAAAAAGCAACGTTTACATATCTACCAAAAAGAAGCATCAAGTTTTGTTTACAAAATCTCGCTGATCAAATAATTTGAGGAAATAATTCTATTCTTGTTGTATGACCTATCCATTTTCACTGAGTGAAATTTTTAGTTCGCATTATTCTACTGACAAGGAATGCATATTTAGTCGAAGTGGCCTTTTTATAAGTGATGTATACTATATTAAGGGCATAAAAGGCTGATTCCAAAACTGCCTCCCTTATCTGCAGAAGGTTTATGGACGAGGAGTTATGAGCGTTTTTAAAGCCAAAATTTTGGTGTGCATTTTGGGTAAAACGAGCTGTTGCTTATTAGCCTTCAAATAATGCAACCAAGTGCAATATAGTTTCTGTTTTAAAGCAAATTTTGAATAAAGTGCTCTGCTGATTACTACTGCTCCACTGACTTGCACATTCAATTTTTGCTTCAATAAGCCCTCATAATCCTCGTCCATAAATGTTCTGCAGATAGAAAAGGCAGATTTGGAATCAGCATTTTATGCCTTTCAGTATGGTTCACATCACATACAAGGCCATTTCGACTAAACATTCCTTGTGAGTAGCTATGGTTTTTAATTTTTTTGAACTCACATATTGATTTTGCTTCGAGTAAAGTTTCTGACATGTACAGCAATATGAGTGCTTGCTACGTTCCACAACAAATATATTAGGTTAAAACCTGTTTTGATGCTTTAAAATTTTTTTGTAATTTTGTCCAAAACATATGGACCAAACGGGCAACACCTAGTAGTTGCTCAAAATTATTCGAATAAAACTTGAATAACAAAAATGTATATTTCCTCTCAGGGCAGTTTTGTCTAGTCAAAAATTGAGACGAAACAGCAGGATGTTTAAATAATAGCTGCTTTTCTTGCTTTTATGTGTAACTAAGTAGATGGTCTCTTATGGTAAGCAGGCATACTAAGGCATGTAGTTTCTATTGTATATGACAGTTCACTAACTAAATGTCATTAGTGTTTTACGTAAACCATGGCTCTTTCTCAAACCCCGCACATAATTTCCATTCAAAATTGTGCAGTCGATTTCACGCTCAATTCATGATTTGAAGCAGTAGCAATCAAGGTTCGATTAAAGATCAAGGTTATAGGTAAACAGACGAAAGTTGTGACTGTGACTGAAACAAAAACAATTGATGTTATTGCTAAAATACTAGACAAAGAAATATTTGAAGAGCATAAAGGAAAAGGAATTAGAGTTTGGCCATATTATTCCTTTTGTACTTGTGAATCCCGTATTTTGAGTAGTTGTCCTTGGAGCACGGATACTACCGCTTTTGCAATAATGATGCCGCTGATGACCGCACACAAATCAGCATTTTGAGCAACTTTTTTCCATTCATCCGATAAGGGTTCGATACGTTGAAAACTGAACAAAATGAGGAAGTGGTGAGCACTTATTACTTGGAGTCCTACACTGCATATATGGAAGTTTTCACGCTCCAGAAGTAAATGGTATGGTCGAAGCCGTAAAAATCAAAAAAGAGCGTGAAAGCTTCGGATATAGGGCACTTCTGCTGAGCGGGGGGGGGGGGGAGGAAGGAGTTTCATATTCAATTTTTTCACCAAAACATCTCATCATCTATCATCTTTTGCAGAGGATCATCGTCGTAAGATTATATGGCCTGAAGCGATGCTACCTTCTACCAACAACTCTAGTTCAGGTAATTATCAAAATTGTTGTATCAATTCAACCCTACTCTAATTACCCTTGAACGCAAAACAAATGATTCGTATTCCGTGCTTCTCAGGATTTCATTTTTCTTACCGTCCGAAATATTCAAGAATATTCGTAGAAAACCATGCCAAACAACGCGAAAGCTAGTGACATTTTTACAGAATACGGATCGACGACAATACGCCATAGTCCCTGAACCTCTCTCGCAAGCCATTGGAACTCATTTCGCAGGAACAGAAGGTTGGAAGTTCTGCGACGGATTACCTGTCTACCTACTGGAAGAAACCAGTAAGTTAAAAGTGGTACAGCGAAAATAGATGAAACGCCGAGGGCAGAAAATGATGTATTGGCGAGTCGCCAGACGCACGGACGGCGTCTGACGTACGCATTCGCGAGAGTGCGCTCTCGCACACCCTCATCGTCTGCGTCTCCGCACTGAAAATGTGCAATTGCACGCAGTCCGTGCGTCAAAACACTCTCTATACGCTGGCGGCATCCAGCATATCCCACTTCCTCTCCTCCATAACCCTGTCTTATTCAAAATAATGGTTTGATAAGATACTGAGAATTTGCTTTTTTGTGAGATATAGCGCTTATTTTGCATCCTACCATTTACAAGGCAACCTATGGCAGAAGTATGGCACCACCTCTCAATGTCTGCTAGAAAGCCTGAGAGTTTATTTATGATTAGCTATTACTAAAGCACACCTATTCAAGCTTACTTTACTTGAAAATAAGCAATCCGCTTGACAAAAGAGCCATCTGAGGACACCAGTGCTAGCGAACTAGAACTTCCTGCTACCGTACCTCATACTGGCAACTAAAATGGTCTTCTTAAACAAACAATATGCAAAATTTCAACGTTAATCATTTTACTTTTCCAGACCCGTAAAAACGCATGTATAGGACCAAACACTGGTGTACATTCGTTGCTCACTAGTACATAGTCAATGTTGTTCAACATCATAGTTTCTGTGGATCTCATGACGGATACTAGAAATGAAGACCATATTGTGCCTCGCATAGTTCCGCTCAAATGTACATTACCTCTGTTGAGGCTTGCTTACCTTCATAATCAGCCCTCAGTTCATATCTCACAGCTGTAAGTACTTCCCTGTCTTTCTTACTGTTTCGACTCGCTTTAATAAACATTTTATGCATGACACTCGATCAAAATAGGGAACACAATCTTTGAAATAAAAAAACGACGACATGATGGAAACAAAGGAGGAACGTACCCAGAGAAAGGACAATATAGTACACGACTAAAGCCGGAAAGACCTCACGGGCGTCGGTCAACTACCTCATCACCTCATAAGATGCCAAAAAAGTACATCAAAGGCGCTTCTAAGGCATACACGAGGGCTGTCTTTGAGACCAAAATTTCTAATTAGTTATGCCGTACACGCACACAAAATAAGGAAGACATTTTGAACGAACAAACAAATAAATGTGCTTTGGAAGATATTTGTGCGACTAGCTCACAAAAAGAAAAATGACACGAATCCTCCAATTCACTGGGTATACGCCATCAATCTCTGGTTATCAAACGGATAACCGTCAAAACGACAACCAGTCCGCTGTAGCCCCAAAGCGAGGCGCAGACTGTACATGAGAAAAGATGAAACAAAAACGAAACACTATGGCATATCCTATGGGGAACATGCATTGCAGCTACTAACGCAGAGCAAGGAAGGCAAGAGCGATGAAGAGATATCGAGGTAGACGAAAGCCACCGTGAGGGGAAAATAGGGAAGTGAATGGAGGTTGAGGCGGCAGAATGAAGCACACATTTGAATGAAGCACATGCAATAATATACCCAACGAATTGTAGATAGAAAACGAAGATAATAATACCAACGTATTATTGGTTCCTATGCGTCGATACACCGTATTCAAGAAAGTGCTTAGCGCGCCCGTGTGCTACGAACTAAACAGGGAGATTTCCGAATGAAGTAGGAAAGCCTCCGTCGCCTCCAGATGGCGGATCACGAGAACGCGATCTGTAAATATGAAGATACTTATGACAGAAAGATATTTTCTCCAAGAACGTAAACCTTCACAAATGGCGAAAAAAAAACTATTAATAGCCAAAGAGAAGAAAATAAATTATCACTAAAAACGCAAAAATCAACGCCGCTTTTTGATACTAATGGTGAATGTGAAGCTATTAAAGGATGCACAAAGCTACAAGATTCTTCAAAGTAACAAATTAATAATTAACATCAAAGAATGATAACAGCCTTCACATCCTTTGAAAACCACACGGAATGGGAACAACTGACAACACTGGTAAATAAGAAAAAATGAGTGGAAGAACGAACCTGTCACCATCGCGTTCACGTCTTGTACGAAGACGTTTCTTGCGACCATCACCGACATCAGTCTCCTCATCGCTCAGCGACTCATCACGCAGAACATTGTCAGTGACCGTGGCATGGGATCCAGCAGGATGACGGCGTCTTTCGTCATCTTCGGCACGGCTGGAACTATAGCATACTTTGAAAGAAACTTCCTAACCACAATTCACAATTTTTTGGACTATTGTAGCCCGATGTCAAGCGCCCCCGTGTTTCATACGACCACCGAAAGCGCGCAAACAAGGGCCCTATTTTCTTTAAAAGGTACGGCAGATAAGGCAGCAAATTAGGGAATCAGCGTTTCAGGGAGGTAAGCATATTAATAGAAAAAGCCACCGCATTCCAATAAGTTTTCTTGTCAGAATTTCACATCAAACAGAAAAACTGAGCTGATGCCGAATTCTACAGAGAAAAGAACATGATTCTAAAAAGACATTTAAAGTTTATACTCACCCATCCTCAAGGGAGACATCTTCAAAAATTGCAGTTTGTACCGAGACAGTATCAGCGGGAGGAGTAGTGCCACCCTCATATGCCCCGTTTACTTCTCCAGAACCCTAGAATGTCCAGATAAATAGTATAGATAGTACTCACTATATTGCTTTAATTCTTCAAAGACTGGGCAAATCTATGAAAACTTACATCAGTTGGCTGACGAGATGATGCCTTAGTGAAGAATCCTTTCAATTTGTTCTTCAGAGATTGAGACAGGGTGTTTGTCTCCATTTCATCGTCTGAACCTTCTCGTTCCGAAGTCAGAGCTGCATCGTCTGTCTCCACCAACTGCTCACGGGATCCGCCGATATCGCTATGATGAACATCTGCGAGTACTTGGCTAGTTGATGCAGAGACTGAAAAGAAAATGATTGGCCTTCACAGAGTTAGAGATTGACATTTTTATCAAGCATTAAGGGGATGTTCTTTAATGTTCGAAAATTTAGAATGTAGGTGCAGAAAGCAATTGGCGTGCTTCGCAGAACCAAGATATCTTATGTTCAATTGAATTTCTTAAACACCAATTGCTACGAAGATGAAATACCTTTACAGAACGAGTAACAGCAGCTTACGTATGGGAGTTTCCGTACGCTCTTCGTCTTCGATGTAAGTATGAGTAACAGAAGTGCTTCGAGAAGAAGATGGCTGCTGAAACAAAATGACTATCTATACATGCTCCGCCACTATTTTTCCAACCTCTGGGCGCCTTTCTTCGTCGCTGGACTCCGAGTCAGAATTCTTCGCACCAACTCGTCTTTTGCACATTGGGCAAACCTTACGATTTTGCGTTAGCCATGGATCAATACACTTACAGTGATAAGCTGTAAATGAACAGATGTTCTTGACCTTGTTTTTTCTACTCGATGTTTTTTGTTGTACTCACTGTGCCGACAGGGTAGAACGCGCAGCTTCTCACCCTCGATGAAATCATCGAGGCAAATTGCACAAGTTTCCGGTTCGTCACCTAATAAAAATACATAAAAGTAAACAAAGGAGTAAAACGAAGCTCAAACTCACCCTTTCGAAACTTCTTGGTTGGAATCTTACGAAGATTTCGTTTAGAGAGACGCTTACGCGCCACACGCCGACGTTCGCGGCATAAGCGAATCGCCTTGAATATCTTTAAATGAGCAAATCTGTGCTAACAGCAATGATTCAAGAAAAAGGATCCACCTTACGTACCAAGCTGATGAGCAACACGATGAAACAGAATCCTACGACGACAACGAATGGAATTAGATAACGGAACAAGTCGTAATAACCTGGCGAGACTTTCACCTGCACGGTATACCTAAACAAATCAATGCTCTCTACATAAACACGATGAAAAACCACCTCACCCTTGACTAGCTGGATATGTGTTGTTAATGGCTAACATACATTGGTATGAGATCATCAGCACGGGAATGCGGACCTAAATACGTTGCTACTAGCATGATGAACTTATAACTGATTGACTTGCAGTTTTCGAAGTACATTGAAAACAAGAGAGGGGAGACGGATAGCGAAGACAATGAAACCCACCAAATCGGCATATTTGCTCCCCGCCATGTCGATAGGAGCTTTACCCTCAGAGTTATAGACAATCAGTGCCTTGAAACCTTCAGGCTCCGCGCGCTGGACATGGTAGGCCTGGAAATATCGCGAATATGCGCTGAATACATGTGTTATAAAAAAGACACCAACCTTTTCCGAGAAACTGCAATTACCTCTCGGTACTAGAGCGAAATTTGATTCACAAAGGGTGATATTGGACGGATACTGCAAATCACAAGATTGGTACTGGCAAGAATGATATATCCGTTTTAAACAAAAATCCTGGACAAGTAAGAAAATCCAGCTGAATGCAGCAAAAGTTTCATTTCACCAGTTCGAACTGATCAAGCAAAGTACTGCGTTTGATAGTACAAGCAGCTATGAATAAACTGAACTAACTAACTGCATTAACAATTTTGTTGTTCTACAATGATGCAGATATGCGATTGACAGAGAAATTCAGACGCGTGAAAAAAAACCTTGTGTCAGTGTGCTATCAGAAGAACACAGTTACGATAGGCAGCTCAAAGCTCCCATCGTCCCAATTTAAGGCTAGGCTAACCCCCTACCACTCTATAGCTTCTCGTGAAGCAAGCACTCACACTTTTATCTGATGCGCTGATTTGCATGACTCATTCTATAACTGGAACTGATGTGAGAAAGGGGAAGCGATAAAACTCCTCTACGAACACTGATTCATACTTTGCAAAAGCAGTAGTACAAAGAAGAAAATGAGCTGGATACGAAAAGAAACAGATGAAAACAAGAAATTGACGATCTCGTATGAATTATGGCAGAGAAAAGGAATTCCGTAATTCTCAAATTAGAAATCTTGCAAGATTATGAACTCAATTTGTACGTTTGATCACCATGCAACAAACCAATTATTCGTTCTCAACATATAAATGATCGATGGGAAAGGTCCAAAAAACGGAACATGCAGCCATCAATGTGAAAATAAAAATGAATTGCACGTACCGTTACATCCACACATGCATCAATGGGAACAGCATGTGCAGCACATCCGATAGCTTCATGACCAAATGAGAACGTTACTATATCAGCACCGAAATTTGCTCCCGTAGCTTCACAACGTTGAACGGAACGTCGCATACCCATACGAGCTGGTTCCAACTACAAAATTCAAAATGGTTATTGAGCTAGTGCGCAAAAAACAAAACACTATTCAAGGTTTCGAAACAAGAAAAAGACACACTAAAATCAAAGAAATGAAAAGACTTACCACTTCGACAACAAACTGTCCATTTACAGAAATTGTGTGAATAATCAGGATAAGGAAGGCATAGATGTTTACAGCCAAAGACGGATAGAAACCATGCAATTGTAACATTCTAATGGTTCGATTTCGTCGCTTCAATCACTCTTTGAGGGATGGCGACGCTCCTTAAATCGCCATAAAACGGAAACTGAAACAGAATTTACGAGCAATATCTGCATAATGGTTACAGCACACAGACTGGCTGCCGATTGAGCGATATCAAAAGGAAAAAACACATTGAAGAAGCATTAAATGAATGAGTTTGAGGAGGAATGGTTGCCTCGAAACCATCAAGGCAACAGAAGAGGCAGATTGAAGAAAAGAAATGAAGCAAAAGCGCGGTCACGTCTGAAAACAGCCGCCTTGATGAACAGACACAGAACGACGCCCTTGAGATGAATTCTTGTTGTTTGAGGAGGAAAAACTACGCCGTACCACCCTGATTCTACCACTTCGATAAAAGATGTCTGATTATGAAGTGGACGTGCACATTGCCGGTCAGCTGATCAGCGCAAGCGCTGTGTAAAAATCGATCGGCTCCTTAGCACTTACACAAAACATCGCAAAATTCAGATGCGTCATTTGTATCAGTTGCTTCGGATCTGTAGAAACAATGACGAAAAGAAAAAACACTTGAAATACCTTTTGCAGCGTGAAAATGAAGCGATGAACCACAAGACGAAACCAGTCGAGTCGAAATGAACCTTCTTAGAGAATGCTCGTCAGAAATGAAGGAGAGTGTGCATGTGCACAGAAAACAATGGACCTCGGCAAAATATTTTTGAATGGACCTTTTAGTCTTGTAAAGGAGGTTTTTTTTCACGTTTACAGGCATTTTCTATTCTTCTAATAGTCTCAGATGATAAGAGTCACTTCCTCAATGCTAGGTAAAGGTCCATCCTTCGCAAAGACGCGGGGCACTGATAAAACCTGTGTCATATTGATCACTATATGAAAGACGTGTTGAAGGTTGGATTCCTGTGAAGTCATGAGACAACAGAAAGTATCCCCCGATCCATCACGGCACAACACATCAATAGAACCGCATATTTATTGACTTCAGTAAGGTAGAGTGTAATACCCAACGATTACACAAAAAAAAATTCGAGACCACTCATCAATCAAGTGACGATATCGCAACAGCGTCGAGTTACTATGAGGTAATGGCGGATATAAGCTTTCTTATGGGGAAATGTAATCGATAGTTTGCTTATCGTAGGTGGAAAGGCGTTCAAATGGCCTTGAATCGGTGAAAGAAGCAATGCAGATACAACTGTCGTCAGATTCGAAATCTTGGTGCAACCACACACAACTCATAGTTACAGATGCTTGCCTCGGTGAGCTGAAAGTCTTTGAAGCACAAGTCGAGCTCACGCTAACTCAACAATAGTTTCAGAAACTCATCGAATTTTGATGCAAACACGTGAAGATTTGGTCGTTGACCGCTTGGAGTGCGAAAATGTGCGGATTAAGTGCAGTTGCACCGAGTGATTAAAAACAGAGAAAAGTGTAAGTCTAGCATGTGTGCTTATAAATTTTATTGTTGGAAGACTAATAAGGACTATCTTACTGGTGAAATGTACAGAATGGGAAAATGCACCTATCTCTCTTGCTGACAGTTAGCAAATCAACCCGCAAAATGTGCAGAGCCAGTGGGTGCTGTGCTGTCTTATCAACAACAAGGAAAAACGCCAAATAATCGCACTCGCGGATGATACACAACGGGGAGACGCTGGGTCGTGAACTTGGCACGTGCCCTGTAAACACCGTTCGTTCTGGGAAATTCTGGCATCCATAAAAGTCTCGTTGTCGCTCTAAGGCAGGAGGTGCAACGGAGTGTGTGGAACACGCGTGTAAACAAACCAAACGGTGAACGCGGATTTATATGAGAGGGGGGGGGGGAGGATTATCGATGGATGTGCACTCTTCAATCTTTGAAATGCTTACATCCTTTGGACAAATCGCCTGTCTCTGAGTGACTGGCTGGAAGAAGAACTACTAGTGTAAATTTTGCGACGTCATTAACAATTCTATATCTTCCGAACACGACCTTGTCTCGAACTTTTGGCATTCTGACTTGTAAAAATGCCTGCATTCTTTACTCGTTAGCTAGATTTACAAACTGGAAAAGTAATTTAGATTTTGATATTTTTGATTGCAAATTGCAAAGTGTGTTCTAAATTATTTTCTCACTTTTTTCTCATTTGATCTTCCTACAGAATTCCAAAGTTCTAAATAGGGAAATTTCACCAGATATTTTCGTCATTTATGAATTTGAACCAAAATTTTTTGATGATACAACAAAACTGCTCGTATTACGGTTTATTGTTTCCTCAATAAAGCGCCCCTATTCATACTTTGAGCGACAAAAAACGGTCCATCCGCACTCTTGACATTCTAGTCATCACTGATAATAATTCCAAAAATAACACGATACATGGGTTAGTACACCCAACCTATTGCCTAACCTTCACCTTGAATGATTATGGATATTGGTTGAGGAATACTCTCTAATATGCAGCAAAAACATCTTATTGTTAGTGAAGAAAGAAAAATGTATGATTTGTCACTTCATTATAAAAAGCATCGTCATAGAATTTTTACTTCTAGTGATACTGTTGTTGCTCTTTCACGCTCTTTCATTCACATTCTTCATTCATCTTGTTCAATGCCTAACAGAAGGCTATTCATAAGTCTTTAGAGTGCTTTTATTTTCGATCAATAAGCTTTTATCCAGCTAAATTGCCCTATAGCTTGGAAAAATGCAAGGTTTTAGAGTTTTTTTTTCATTAAAAGAGCTAGTTATGGCACTCCAGTAATATGTGACTGTCTTCTGATAAGCAAAGCTGAAGTCAAATGAGAAAAAACATGGAAAAGGATGTTGTGATTTGTTTTCGGGAAAAAGGTTGGGAATTTTGTTTGGCATGCATAAAAATTGCAGAGATAAATTTCGGGCAAAATGGAAGGGGTAAAGGTAGTCCTGGCAAATAATTGATATCTTAATCAAGCAGTTCAAATTGGCGCAAATAGGTACGGTAATTATACAGTAGCGGTGATAGGAAACGTTTATGTTCTAGCTGTATGAAAGCTGCATGAAACGGAGAATTCCGGAAAAAAGTCGGTCAATCTTCCTTTAAGTGACGTCAGGAAGTCACGCGAAATCCGAGAAAATTACCATGTCGATGCCGTCGTTGCACAAGAAAACAGTGTAAACTCGTCCAACACTTCGTTAGCGTCATGGGAATTAGAAGGGGGATAGAAAACAATAGAAGAATGATGCACATGCATTAGGGGCCGAAGCATGTCGAATCGACGCAGACGCGAAGAAAGCGAGCGCCGGCCGACGGCGCACGAGACGCCGAGGCGGAGGAGGGTGGCACGCACGCATGTGACGCGAGAAACATTTGCACTTCTACCGCACTCAGGGTCGACTGAGAGCGTTGACTCTCCAGACTGACAAAGAGCGATTAGGCGCGTGCACCGCCCGATCAGGTTCCCCCTTGGATTATACGTGTTATGAGTGCTTCGTTATGCGATCGAAAAACCGAAATGTGCAAAGAAAACAGGTCAAATGAGTGGTTTCTCGCCGCCGTTCGAGTGACTACTCAGCGTAGCGAGTGATTTTTCGAATGGATTCAAAAACCTGACCTGCTAGGAGTTTGTCAGGAATGTAGATATTTTCGAATTATTTGTAATTCAATATGCGTATTGCACACCCTACGCGCTACTTGACGACTTGTAAACTTAGAACCTGCTCATCTCCTGTGGGTTCTCTTTGTTTCCTTGACTTTTTTGATTTAGATAGAAATGTATTAGTTAGTAGTACACATTGCTACAGTTTGTTACGCTAGAATAGGATCTATTGAGGAGTTGCTAATATGCTTGTCGCCAGTTGCCACGCATAGTGTGCAGATTCACATATTGAGTTACAAGACTCGAGAGTAAATCTGAATGTCTAAAATGCAAGGAAAATCGCATTGCTCGATTGCTTGGAAGGAGAAAATCAGGCGTTTTTTGATGTTACAAAGAGCGAAAATCAATTTCAACGATAACAGTACAAGCTGATAAAGAAAACGTTGAAATTGTGAGGTTTCTAAACTTGTCTGAGAAAAGGTCAACCTCATGCTTCCTTTTTTTGTCACACAAAAGCTGTGTTTTATTTATTCATTTTTCTGAATGAAGATCAAATTTTTTTTCTAATAGTTCAAACCTCATCTTGTTTTTGTGACCTATTCTAGTAAACGATTTGTTGTTGATGAAATGTCTACGAGGGTACAGATTGATTTTTTTTACTTCCTTTTTTTCAAATGAAATCGATGACTATAATAAGACACACATGAGTTGTGTGAAACATAAAAAATATTCGATTTTTTTTAAGCATTATTAGGTTTTCATGAAAATCTGTTGCAAGATGTTCGAAAAGAAAAGCGCAATAAAGTAAAGTTAAGCTGAAAAGTTGAGTTGGATTTTATTTCCCAAGAATTTTAAGATTCTGCTCATGATGTTTACATATTAGAAGGGCAGGGTGAAGAACGAGACTTCATCTAGTCGTTGCGTTTTCAATCACTGAATCTTAGACAGAATAGTTTAGTGTGTTATGCAAGAAATTTGGACCATGTAAATGTAAGCATTTTTATTACTGCATATAAGCTACATCATTTCCATATGAAGATGAATAATAAATGCTCTTATAACCGAACCATCTCAAAAACCATCTCCGATATTCTCTCAAACATGAATTTTATCATGTTATGAACTCGATCATTGCTGAGGATGTGAAAATAAGTAAAAAATCGACATTTGCACTTTGTAGATTGAAAGTCGCTTTATTGTAAATGATTCTTACATTAGAACGTCGTCGTCGCTTTCGATCTCATCAAATATTCGTCATTTGTTTATTCAGTCATCAACCCAACTCTTTCAAAGAAACGGCAGTAATCTTACATGTCACTTTCGATAACAGGTAAGATTGCCGTTTTCTAATCCAGGAAGTTTTCCATACTCCACGTGACATTGACATCGATGTTGTTGTCAGGGCTACATAGAACTCCTTTGGAAAAAGATAGAAGAAATTGTACTTTCCGCATAAATTATCGAATAGAGAATGACGTGGCGGAATCATAACAAAACGAGGTTTTTCAGAAAAACGAAATTCAATTTGGGGCTTGGACTGGGCTTTGCGAACGAAAAATTGAATTTACGTGGGCATATCAGGATTAACATTCTCGCTCGAATTCGTGGCGCTATTCTTTTACGGAAGAAGTTGAGATTTGAAGGTGTGAAGCAGATTAATTGTTTGCAAATGGTTATCTAGAAAATGAAATTTTTTCATTTTTGATCTGAATCTCCTTTTTTACTTTTTTGGTGAATAAAAGTTAGTCCAGAGAAAGAGAAGAGTAGAGAAGAAGCCACAAGAACCATAAAATATCAAGTGAAAGTCAATAAGAAGAGGCAGATGTGTCATACGAATTTTTCCACACTATACCTATCCAAACATGAACGCCGCTCCCGCCCCGCCCCCATTCTTTTCAGCCCTAGCTAATTTTCTCGAAAATTCAACTGCAGCTTGACTAATGTGTAAAGTAGCGATGCAAGGTAACTCGATCAAAAGCAAAGAATCCAATCTTTGAGTTCATTCAACGTCTTGTGACATCGCTAACGACTCGATGTATGCTATTCATTATCGCGGTCACGATGTTTGCCTTGCATAGCAGCGATGCTCTTCCGGATTCGGACTTCCTGGTTACTTCGCTGCGATTTTTGCAGTTAGCATTGGAGCAATGTTGCAGACATTGGGGTTAAATGAAAGCCAACAAGGGAACTTTTTTTGTGTTTCTTAAGTCTTAATACTGATTATCTAGCTATTCTTATCAATTTACAATGTTGCAATTGTAGTCCCCATGCCATTACTTTTGCTTTTGACAGAAATGCATTATTTTTTTTTCAGTCATAAGGGCTGAGAACAAAGTACTGACATTTTATTTCAAAATGACACGATCTAGTCAGTTTTATTTTCGGTAATTTTTCAAAATACTGCAGAAAATGTAAAGCGAAAAAGTTATGAACTACGGCCGTATGAGCACAGTTTCAAAAAATAAAACGTAATAAATAACTATAATAAATAAGGGGGGTTTTCAAGCTTTGATACACTGCATCATTAAAATTTTTGGTCCTAATTTAGGTCTTCTTGCCCTGCCCCTCTGCCTTCATCGCTGCACATCTGTCCTTTTTCTGCTTTTTTGCAGCTGATTAAACTAACCTATGAATTATTGCAGAATTAAATATTGAGGAAAAAATTGGGTTGCTTCTAAATCAGAGTAAGATGTTCGCATGGAAAATTTCTGTGCAATGATTTTCAAAGTCTCATCATATTGGCTGATCATAAGGCACAAAAAATTGCCTTTCAACGTGACTCCCATGAACTTTAAAGAGCATCACATGTCATATAGAAAGATCCTCTTACAAAGTGTCATTATTTTGATTATTTTGTAGTCTTAAAAGATAAACATGACTTTTTTTGCATGCCTGCAAATCTCTATCTTTTTCGCTATGAATCACAAAAGGAACCCAAACAACAAAATATGCGATAAGAATGTGGAATGGGTGTTGTCCTGTCACTAAGGACTGCGTCTGACGTTAAAGGACTAAAGAATACGTATCATTTTGAATAACGCTATGCGAAAGAATTCTATTTGAGTGGTTAATATCTCAATCTTTTGTCTATCGAGAAGTTTTTGCGATTTGTGATGCAGATAAGTGGCACAATAGAATGGTGACTCACAGTTTATATCGGGCATTCTGTGGGTCATCTTGAGAAATTCACATTCTTAAGAACTCATAGCATTTTTCGAGACCCCTGCACGAACTAGTGAAAGTGGTTTGAAAAAAATGGAATTTTCTGCAAAGCATCATAAGAATTATGTAGAAAGTTTCAAGGCAAAAAATTTGAAGTAACAAACTTGCACAAATTTCACAAAGAGCACATAATAGTCCGTAATGTTGAATGAAATACGTGCAGCTGAATAAACAACTCCCAATAATTTTTTTACCAACAGAAAGCACAACTTACACAGTCTATCTCGCTACTTCAAATACAGTCAAATTTCAAATGCTTTTTTTTTGATCACACCCCTGCTAGTAAACGGGTAAATTTTGCAAATTATCTTTTTAAAGAAATTTTTTTATGTATTCGCTTAATTCATTATATCGCGCAATTTCCAAAGCACATACATGTAATGAAACATTCAAATAAAAACTCTAAGGGCCGCATGCACTATTATCCCCGCAGGGAGGGGATCGCAGCTTGAAAGACAGCTTTATATTTCGAAACTCTAAATACCTGGATTTCACGTTGTGTACCTATCCGTAAGTATTCCTACTACCCTTCACTATGAATATGTTGAAGAGGAGCAAGAAGCTGTACGAACCGCATTTTCCAGCTTTTGTGTGATCCCTGTGATCCCTGGCGCTTTTCTTTAAAGTCATTTTTCTTTCTCCGAAGTTAACGAAAACCTTCCAAACTTGTACTGAACATCTAACACAACAGTGCTAAGCATGTTGCTGATGAGAACAAATGAGTTTTTGAAAAGTCGAATTTTTCGGTAAACCTCAAATTTCGACCTATGGACCATTGAAAATTTCATGACTTCAAAAACTCATTTGTTCTCATCAGCAACATGCTTGGCACTGTCGGGTCAGATAATCTGCACAACTTTGGAGGTTATTTGTTAACTTCGCAGAAAGAAAAATGACTTTAAAGAAAAGCGCCGGGGATCATCAGGGATCATACAAAAGCTGGAAAATGCGGTTCGTGCAGCTTCTCGCTCCTCTTCAACATGTTCATAGTGAAGGGTGGTAGGAATACTTACGGACAGGTACACAATGTGAAATCCAGGTATCTGGAGTTTCGAAATATAAAGCTTTCTTTTGAGCTGCGATCCCCTCCCCGCGGGGATAATAGTGCATGCGGCCCTAAGAAAGTGCTGATGAATGCAGTCAAAATATGCTCTGACGGTAACTCTTGGACACGAGCTAATCTCTTGAACGGCTCGTGATCGGAGCGCAATGTGCAATTGCGCAAAATTTTTCTGCATACTCAGCAAAAAATGTTGAAAAGAACTAATAGAAATTTAAAAAATGATACAAGCTGGTTTTGGGCGTATATAATAAAATATATTTTTTATGAGCGTTTCTCAGCCGAGAGAGAGTGAACCTAGTATTTCAAATGCAAGCAGGTGTGATTGAAATTTCTCTCAAAAGCTTTTTGAATTCTGTTCTACCAACTGGTTTTAGATAGGTAGCCGCAAGTGCTGCGCATTGTGTGCAATCCCACATATTGGGCCACAAATGAGTTCACTGCACCCAAGCATGCTTGAATCGCAAGGAAAAAGTTGTGGCATTTGATTTTCCACAAGTTTTGGGTATCAAATTGGGGATTGAGGAAGGAGTGACAAAGAAGTGTGCGGTAAAGGACATTGTACTGGTGAAATGCAGTGACGGACCTTCGATCTCCGAGTAGAGAATGTGTCTCGCTTCACGGGGAGAGGGTGCGGGGGGCAGCCGTGTGAACACGTCAAATGTCCCGAGTGTTTTCTCTGAGGGCAGCTCAGCGAACGATCGTGTCCGATGACATTTTTGCACGAAAAACACGAACTCGCAATGATCGATTTCACACAGAACGCAGAATGCATTTGCCATCGGATCTTGCACGTTTCCTATCGGATCGAATGATTGATTTCACACAACAAAAAATTTACCTGTTGCTGACTGTTTGTGTTTATGAAAGATCACGAGTTTTATAAAAGTGAGCACGAGTGTTTCAGCTGAAGTAAAAATGTTCAGTGATTTTTCTAGCAATCAGACTTGTGGTGTATGTCAAAATGTTAGCTGCTGGTAAGCATACTGTAGTCCTACGGTAGTCAATATGCTGCGCATATAATCATCCCTCTAGAGCGGTATATTCTTCGCTGGATTTAAAATAGTGTCGAAAAGTAAGGGTTAGGGACCACTGCTCCCAGCGCTTTTTTTTTGAATTTTTTATTATGATCATAGCGTAAATACAGAATTTGAAAAAGATTTGATCTATGCAACGCATACGGCCGGCGAAGGCTATCATTCAAGTTGGCTACCTCTCGAGCTGCCCTTAGTAAAGAACTGTGAATAAATATATAATCTATAATAAATAAATAAGTAAATAAATAAATGATGGTTTTGAAATTTATCTTTATTATCATTTAATTGGAATTTAATAATTTTTTTGTGGTTTTATCCCATCCTTCCTTCTAGAAATGTGTTGTTTTAAATGTATACCTAATCTCGATTTTTGTAGTTCATGTTAAAGTGTCTGGAATAGATGAGTACATAAAAGTAACTAACTTAGTAGCTAGCAGTGTTTAAAAGCATAGTAATTTTGAAAATTTAACAGTTAAACCCTTTCTCTTCGTTTACCCTTGGACAACTACTACAAAATCAGATTTTCCCGAATGTCTCTTTTTCTTAGACAAGGAGCTTTGCATAGTTCCTCTATCTAACCTATGGTCGATGATGTGATTTCCTTTTGGAGCAAGAAGCACACATGGAAAGGGAAGGACACGAAGGGGGGGGGGTGAGCGATAGGGTAATTTGAAATTTTAATAAGTTTGTAATTTAAATAGTGCAGAATCAAGACGGTGACATATGATTTCTATCAAATTTCAATGAATAATTAAAATTCATACCTTATTGTCATTATCATGTATTTGGAATTTTGATAAAAAAAACTTTATTCGTCTGTACTACATTTGAATTCATTCAATTTTATTAAAATAAGTTAGAAAAATTATCTCTGAATGTGTGCTTTTCCTGATATATTCAAGTCCTATCAAGTTCTTAGGTGCTTGCTGCTTGTAGCTTCTTGCCAACATGCGTTTTGTAAAAGAACTCTAAAAATCAACAAAATCAATTTCAAGACAGAACTGAAGAGAAAAGGCAATCCCAGTTTCGATTTAGTGCGCCAAAATCAGAAGCGATATCATAAGTTCTACTAGTTGCTCTTTCAACTAATAGTTTGTGCTAGTCGAAAATCTCCCCATCACAATTTATGATTTTCAAAACTTGCAAAAAATTGATATGGCCGTTTGCTTCAAAACCATAAAGACGTTCGGTCACCATATTCTTTTGTCGGGCTGAGAAAAGGATGAAATTGTATTATAGCAGTATTTCCGATTTTTTTCGGGTCTAATCAGAAAATCCAAGTTGAAGTGAACTTAATCTCCTGCTACTATCTCTGACATCTGTCCATGCTATGAAGCTGCTAAGGCGCTTTTACAAAGCTTA